GGGTTTCTAGTCCTTACGCTCCATATATTTTACACGATTATGATATGAGCTCTGGAGGGCCAAATCCTGTATCACCTCTCCCCCACCCCACCCCATTCACCCCACCCAAGGACGTTAAGCATAGGATGTGATAAAACCTTTCTTAATGAAATCATTCATGCCGAGCCTGGATCTAACACCATACCCTTGCTCCCGTTCTTATTTTTTGGACATAAAAATTGCACATAATTTCTTACTTTTTTAGCTTCACTATATTATATAATGTAATCATAATATAAGTGTCTCATATAAACTAAATGTGCTTGGATGTATTTTTAAAAGATTGACTTACTTTCCGGATTCAAAGTCGTCACCACTCGAAGCCAGTTCATGTGTTCCTGTTGCGCCTTTATTTCCAACAATCTTGATAAAAATGTCTGAATCGGTGGAGGCTCCCAGCTTATTCCCTGTCTTAGTGTCTACGTGGTATCTAAATCCTGAAAACATATACAGAGGCAAATGAATGAATGAATGAATGAATAATTCCATGCAGCCCGTCAGTCAGTTAGCATTTCCATGCAGCCCGTCAGTCAGTTATGTTATCATTTCCATGCAGTAAGTCAGTCAGCCAGTCATTTCCATGCAGCCCGTCAGTCAGTCATCATTTCCATGCAGTAAGTCAGTCAGCCAGTCATTTTAATGAACGACGTTTCGACGTTAACATAACGTCATTTTCAAGTAAAAGGGGAATGGAAATTACAAGATGCTCATATATAGGAATAAAACAATAGGAGCTAATTTACAATTAAAAATATAAAGGAAAATATGTACAATGAAATATAATAAAAAGAATGTGTAACAATATAAAGTAAGAAAATACAAGTAAACAATAATACGGAATATAAAGATAAAATTAAGTAAAAAGTTTGGCGTTTATAGAGTCACTTTGTACGTTTAGTGATGGTTTAAGCTTTCTAATGTACAACATTTCAAATATCAGGCAGTTGAACTTGTTTTTGCATTTCTTCAACACATTGAATTGTTCGTGGTTTGGTCCCGTGAGGATTCCATGATGTTCTTTTAAGTGTTTTCCTACTGTAGAATTGTACTTATGTTCAATTATGCGTTGAAARAGGTGTCGGGTTGTCATGCCAACATAATCTGCATCRCACAGATCACATTTGAATTTATAAACAAYGCAGCTTTGATTGATAAGTTTAGGTTTAATTTCACTWGGCCTTAATACATCCTGGATCTTTCTGCTGGTAAATATGGGCTGAATCGTGACTTCGATCTTGCTGCTGAGATCTTTAARCTKCTTTCTAACTGCATTAGCTGATTTTTGATCCTTAAAAGGAATAGGTATTCTTACTGTCTTGTCAGGATCTTTATCGTTAGCTGCTATTGATTCTTTGTTGTTATTGAAGTTCTTGATTGTAGTGTTGATGAGGTTAATTGGGTAACCAAGGTTAAGAAAAATAGATCGTAGCTTTTGGCATTCATCTTCAAAGTACTGATCGGTTGATGACAGTGCTTTAGCTCGATGTNCAGTCAGATATCATTTCCATGCAGTAAGTCAGTTAGCCAGTCATTTTCATGTAGTCTGTCAGTCAGCCAGTCATTTCCATGTACTGCCTTCAGTCAGTTATCATTTCCATGCAGTAAGTCAGTCAGCCAGTCATTTCTATGCAGCCCGTCGTCAGTCAGCTAGTCATTTCCATGCAGTAAGTCAGTCAGTTATCATTTCCATGCAGCCCGTCAGTCAGTTAGCATTTCCATGCAGTCAGTCAGTCAGCTTGTCATTGTCATGCAGCCCGTCAGCTACTAGTCATAATCAGTCAGTCACGAGTCGTTATAGTTACACAAAAAGCCTTATGAGTAATGGGTCGAGCCAACGCACGAGTAAATGACATCATCCAAAATATTACAAATTGTACATTATATGATGAACACATCTTACCTGCAGACAAGGAGATTGGGCTCAAAACCAGAACACAAAAAGCTAAAATGCTCAACATGGCAGTTAAAAAGCAACAAAAAAACAACTTGAGTTAAAATCTTGCAGTCAGTTGGTCTAGTCTCAACGCAAGTCTGCTTTGATTTCCAAAGCAAGATTAGATCACGTGGTCTTATCATCAGTCTTCGTGACGAGTACAGCTGAGTTGATCAAGGTGTCGCTATTGGTTTGTTTAGCAGGGTTTTTGGCTATGAGGTGTTTCATGGTGTTTGCTGAGCTGCTTTATGATAAATTTCATTGTATGAAGTCAATGTTCCGCGGCTGTTAATATTTGTTCCTGACTTGAAATTTCGTCTTAGAAAATTATCGGGGAGCATAAGAACGAGAGTAAACTATGCCGCTTCAAGTTGACAGAACGAGAAGAACGAACCCTGTTTCTTAGTAATTACTCCGATTCTCCGCCACGAACGAAAAGTAAAATCATTGGAGCTCCCGTATTTAGAAAATCGCCGTATACTAAATTCTAGTTTTCATGTTAAAAAAGCCTTTCTTTTTAGCTGTGAAACCAGTTTATATAAAGACTAGTGTACTACTTGAGCGGCTTTGACCGTTAACCATTTTTTATAGTTCGGTCAGGATTCACTTTTGGATTTTTTATATACTCACTCAATCTTATCATTGTTTTTTTTTTCTTCGTCTTCTTTTTAATTGAATTTCTTTCCTTTGCATTTTGTTTTGCTTTATTACAGCCTTGTTGCCGTGGAAACAATTGTTTTCCCKCCAAGTTGAAACATATCGCGGTCTCGTGCGGTAGTTAAACAACAGACGTCTTAGGAAGACGGAAGATGATATTCAAAATAAAACAATTACTTTTCTCAACATGAATTCAACGGAGAAACATATCAGGATGTGATCTCAAAGAGTATATAAACATAAGTGGATGATTAAAATTGTACGAGGAGGGGCTTAAAAAGTGCTACAGTGGAACAACTGTTACGAAATCTCAGCATTTTTTTGCTTTAGCATATTATTTTTCGTGTGATACCAAGACATATTATGTTTCCAAGAATAGCTTTTAAAGGATGTTTAGTTTTAAATAGGTTATTTATATGCACACCTGCAAAGATTAATGAGGTAAATATGAAGAAAAAAGTTTGTCGCTTTACATATTAATGGTCTTCTTTAATGTTGTGACTTGTAGTAATTCTTGTTATTATATAACCGAAAACACAACATTAAAGGATGTTTTGAAGTAATATGTGAYATAATACGAGGCCTACATAATTTCAGATTGTTTCGCGAGCGAAATTTGGGACAATTATAGCATTTATTACAATATATTAGCATCGCGTATATACTATTCTCATTTTTTTATGATAAAGGAAAAGTTCTTTAAATTTTGATAATAGTTTCTCGATGCAGTCTGCAATATAGTTTCTATAGTGATTTTAAAATACATCTATTAAMGATAAATACCACACCTTTAAGCCAATCAAATGACAGGATTTTACTGACTAATACTTCAMAATAAAATTGATAATYTTGCCAAAATAATAATAGAAAAGGRACTGACAGCTGAAGTATCCTTGGAGTGTTATTCTATTGTCCCTTTGCGCTGTAGGTCGATGAGACTGTTTGTTGTTGTTGTTTTTTTAATTTGCATTCTTTCTTTTTAATTGTTCATATTTCATAAATGAGTTCATGTTTTGACGATGCACGACTCAAACGACGATCGATAGCAACCGTTTGTGTTCCGGCGGAACACAAAACAAAGAAATTGGCTTATCTTCAATGAACTGAACGCCAAATCACGTCTCTTGGATATTGCATCTTTGATACTTGATTTATATCAGCAAGAGTAAATTGTTCTGGATGTTAATAAGATTCACATGAACATGAAGAAAATAGATTTGCATGAAAAACTGACTACTTGTGACATTGAAACTATGGGAATTTCAAAGTCAACRAGAYTACCRGCCATTGATAAACACAACAACGACAGCGAAGAACGTTTGAATCTCAAAAGAAGGCAATTCAAGAGTACAGATTATGGAGAAAATGGCATTAAAAGAAAGGGAAGAGCTTCAAATCTAACCCTCGATTCCATTACGMCTGCTTACGAGCTACCTCTTGGGTTAGCGGTTTCTTTGGCGAGGGATGTTATCCGAATCGAGAGACAATACCAGGAGCAAAAGCTACTTGAGGAAATAAGAAGAAATAGAGCGAGTTATCACTCRTTGAAGAGGAAAGTTATTGACGAAAATCGTSGAAGATTTCAAGGGCTYAGCAACACAAATCATAATACTTCTAGATCAMGATTCTCGTATTTCCCGCCTATTCAATCTAGACAACCTGGATTCGATGCTGATTATTACCAAACACCAAAAACGAATAAAGACAGTTTCGTCATCAATAAAGCAATAACCATTGAAAAGATGAGAAAGTTTGGAGAAAAGCACAAAACTCTGACAACTAAGAAAGAAAACAGTCGAAACAACTTGAAGACAAAACAGGGCATGTTTTATCCTTGAACATACTCGGGTAACTTCACAGCGAAATTGCGCGCGYGCCTACTTATACACTTAACTATGTGCTCATCAGAATTTTTATCTCTTCCGCCATGTCCGTTTGGGAGAGGGATTAACTGCATTCCTGTACTCGCAGATACTCTTGATATTTCATTGATATTAGATTAGCAAATAGCCAAGAAACAACTAGATGTTACTTAAAATGTCCAACCTTTTAAGCTCAAATAAATTAATTGATAGTTCTCGTTTGGAGTGAAATTCCCTCGCTTTATGCGATTTATCTTCGAGTTTTTTAAAAATTTAAAAATTAGTGAAACTTTTTTTTTCCTTTCCCGCTTTTTATGTTTTTCTTACAAAAAATAAAAGCCGTAAAATGCTGAATTTAGAGCCCTCTGTACGAGTTTCTGCATGTTTTTCCGCGCAAGGCCAACACCTTTAATTACTCAAATACTGAACAAAATGTGTAATTTTCCATTGACCAAATGACCGACATGTGTCTGATAAATTATCTTAAAACACCATATTCATTTGTTGTATAAAAGACAGAAATAAAGTGTCTTGTCTTGAAAACAAAATTTAAATTCATTAGTAATACACGGTAGTTCAAATTTATCTATATCACTGAATTAATTACCATATAGTAGTTCATTTGAGTATGTGCCAGAAATTTGAAGTAGTTTTTCAGTACGTCAACAGGTTTATTTGCTATTCAAGTTAAGTTAAGAAGCAATTCAAATCGTTTTAGCTCAATGTTAAAAACTTTCTCTTTTCCCGTCTTTTTATTTTCTTTCTTATTTTTCTTTAATTTTTACACCCGATTTTTTATATTTATGTTTTCTTACTGTGATAATATCTTGTTCAACATTTTTATTCCAGTTGGAGGATTTTGTTCAGCAAATTTCTTTTCATTATTAGTAGGTCTTCGACATGAATTCAACGTTGAGTAGGTTTGTTTAAGTATATTGACAGTTCCATTTTCACCTGCGGAATGCATAATTTACAGGAATGATTAAAGAAATGTAAAAAATGAATAAATTGAGGATTATTTTATTGTACTGTCTTTTTTTTCTATCATCGCACAAGAAGTAGGATATTAAAAAAGGCGGGAAAACGCAAAAAAGGTGACGCGCGCGTACCAGACGCTCCGTATGACTCCGTGAAATAGTAACGTCACGAAGCATCAAGTGGAACGTCCATCAATAAAGTGGTAGAGAAGAGAACTAAAATAAAACATACGACCATGTCAGTGAAGTACAGCCACACGGTGATTTTAAGATAGGATGTATTTTATTTTTCACACACTCAAACGAAATATGTCTCAGTCAAACGAAATTAAACTTGTCGTCCAATTAGAGCTTATTTATGCAAATTCATCTGATCACGTCTGATCAATGGATCGTCTCTTGCAAGTAGATTCGAACCTGGTAGTAATAAAGATCTTTATAGCTGAATGTTTATTGATAAAATGCTTTCACAGCATGCTAGATTTAGTTTGAATGTGGAAATGTTTTGGTTCTAATAACAGGTGCAATTCATAYGTAAATATATTAATACTTTCTACTTGCAATTTTGAGGGATTAAAATGAAAAATTGAWAAAGTAATTAYGTGTCGTTAATAATTTAAGTTTTTTTTTATTTTTTTAAAAGCCGACAAATGATTGTTGCTATCACCAACCAATCCTTTTTAGCTGAACTATTTATATAAAACATAAGTGTGTTGTTCATGTTTGGGTCAACAAGCAACTCCAATTCTAAGTAGTTTCATAGRCCCTATATTGTCAGGCAAATTGCTTTCTCATCAAAAAAAGTGCACCATAAAGTCACTAATAATTTGCAGTCATATACTTCAAGAATATTTTTTCTTAATATTATGCCTTTTAATGAACTGTTCTTGTATATTTTCAAGCTCTGCTCTCATCTTTTCATATTCCTCATCAGTACGAGCACACAAAATCTCATTTTTAGCGCAACTCTTTTTCTTCACCGACGCCTGGTATGCTTTGTATCTTTGTTCTTTCCTCTTCAATGGCGGAGGAGATGGAATGGGCTTGAAATACGAATACTTCGACCGGGTTATATTTTGCGCAATTCTTTCAAAAACCAATTCACATTGCATTGTGTAATGGACCTTTCTCTTGTCGACTTCTTGTCCTTCGGTTTTGATCAAATCCTTGTTATSGTCAAYCTGTTTTTCTTCATCACACGAGCCAMTTACTGAAGGTAAAACAGTCGGTTTTTCATCGATAATCACAGCTCTCTTCTTTTTTAAATGCTTCACTTGTTTCTTTCCCAGTGATGGCAAAATACTACTTTTTGTGTCTTCAGGAGTTGCGCTCTTTTCCAGATTGCTTGATTTTTGACTTGACGTTTTTTGAATTACAAGTGCAGGGAAAACCTCCATGTTTTTTTATCAGCATTAAGTGTATAGGTTACTTTGATTTTGTTGAAACCATCACTAAATCATTTCAATTTGCGCGTTTTTTCAGCTTGACTAGTYCATCAGTGATAAGTAATGGTTATAGCGAGTGCTATAGTCATAAGTACTGTGAGTAAATGTAAGTGCTGTTTATTTATACAACACCTGTCTATTGCTTGAATAACTGGCAATCGTACCATACAATATTACAATATGCATACACTGAAAAGACCTATTAGTGTCGAGTTCAAGTGAAGAAATAATTCCTTTAAATAAATGGTGCTTTCTTGTRGGATTATAATTTGCACCAYGAAGGTCTAAATTGGTTTGGATACAGTGAAAAACGTTTTACACTTGGTTGTATTATTTTTGCATATTATCTGGCAAACACCATCCAGCATTTTGATATGAAAAATTCAGCCACCAAGAAGATATTTGTCCGACGTGGGTCGTATCAGGTCAGATCAGAAAATTTCTCTATTCCGGCYGTTTCTACGAAATGCTGAAAGGAAATGTAATCGGATTATGTTTTGTTGAGCTCAAATACCAAGGAAAGGCCGCGCGCACGGTGTGGTGTTTTTCCGCCACCCACAATCTATCATCGGAAATCAAGGGCTGTATCACGGACATTTTTTAATACATAAACATATATTTTGTGACTGTTTAGAGTTTATTYCATTATTGCTAAATAAAAAGTTACAAAACTGTGAACAAATTCTATTGAAAGAGTGCAAGACCTTTACATATCATGTAATTCAAGTCCCAATATTCACGATCAATCGCGTAGTCTGATTGGCTACTATAATAACAATTGGCGGATCCTAATTGGCTACTAGGACATCTACATTTGAAGGTAGAGAAGTTAATTTTCTAGCTGAACTAATATAACTGGTGGAACATTTGCCAAATTCAGTAATTATTCCATTTTCCTRAAGGAAAGCTGGCTTCAAATTGATCAAGAGTAAATGTAAAAGATAAATTTCGTTTATTTTTTTTACAAATATGATTATTTGTACATTATTATTCCATGCATACAGTCAATCCATTAACATTTTTCAGACAAAAAGACATAAAGCCAAGTCATAGCTTCCATAAAAATCTTTTTTAGAATTCCCAGATGGATTTCAAATTAAAACTCTGGATAAATAGCAATCAAATGTTACTGACAGACATAATTGTAATTTCACAACTTGATGTTGAATAGTCTTGAAAAGATGAAAATGTGAACATGAAAATGACTTTCAGTTGTTGTGTATATCATTAATGGGATTGACTGTAACATGATTTTGGTCAACACTCAAACCAAATAATACCATGTTGAAAATGTTAATTATATATATAAAAAAATTACACCCCTTGCAAGTCAGGGAAAGCAGCACCAACTTAAGGGAAAGAATAATTGAATTTAACTTGAAATAGAGCAAAATTCTTTGCCTTCCAAATGAAGCTGCTCTTAAAGTTGAATGAAAGAAATTAGCTTGAAATAGAGCAATATTCTTTGCCTTCCAAATGAAGCTGCTCTTAAAGTTGAATGAAAGAAATTAGCTTGAAATAGAGCAATATTCTTTGCCTTCCAAATGAAGCTACTTTTAATGATGACTGCAAGGGCGTATACCGATACAAGGACCACGGAGTATAAATTTGTTTGGGGGGGCTAGCGGCGACGAGGTATTAGGGGGGTTCAGAAATTTTTTGAAATCTTAACTCTCAGAAATGTCATTTCCAGCGTTTTGAGAAAATTCAAAATGTCGAAAAAAATTATTGGGGGGGCTGTAGCCCCCCAGCCCCCCCTGCTCCGCGGTCCATGTGATATAAATACACCTTACACATAAATACAGAGATATTTATTTTACAAGGGGTCTAATTCTGTCCACTTCTTCTGTACATGAGCCTTCTCTGTATTTCTTGACCTCCTCCATGTATGCATTCCAAGCAGAGTTGTCACCCTGAGATTAAAAACAATTATCAATGCATCTACATCAATAACCTATATGACGTCGATCTTCTGAATCAAAATATTGTAAGCCATTTTCTTAACAAGAAAGGATGGAAACAGATTTTACATTTAGAATGACCTCAAATTGAATGATTTCCAGCTTTAGAAATATAAAATGCCTGTACGAGCCTGTCTACTTATAAAGACAGTGGCAAATGTRAAGAAAGCAAACTAGGAGCTTTATTTCCTCTCTTCACCTAATTGCAATTTAAACATTGTCCAAGAAAAAGAACTTTAGTACGTTATTATTGGGTTACAATACAAAGAAAGCATTCAGATTAACTCTTTTGACTTTCAATGTATTCCTTTGTTCCTAATTATTATTAAATATTAGCAGGAGGAATCTTACTAAGTTTACGGCAAAATACAGATACACTAGTAGATGTTTTCTGACTCATTCCCAGTAATTTCTCACACCTKTTTTCTAGYGTCTCAAAAAGCTTCATGGGAAGGAAAAAGAGAAGGGAGACTTTCTCTTATTTCCTCCTTCCCYTGAAGATTTAAGAGGATAAGTTATAATCAAGTTGTTTTACATTCTTTTTTCTAAAATTTTTGATATATAACGCAAGCTCTGATTGGCTGACAACCGTGTTGATATCAGAGGACAGAGACACGCGCACCATTTTATATTTTTAAAATAAAGTATGCAAATAAACTGGATCTCATGACTTCATTCACATACTTAAGTGCATGGTAGCTAGTTACGCCCCTTTCAACAACAGCAACAACAACAGCAGCAACAACAAAAGCATTTTTCTCTTCACTGCATCACAAAGATTTACCTTATTAGATTCACTGTCCTTCTCTTGTGCAGCTTGCTTCTCYTGCTTCTTCTTCTTTGCATGAAACTGTTTTGATGCTCCACCCATTCTACCCACCATGAGCCTTTTCCTTCCCTGTGTTTGTTGGATTGAGACTTACACGGTAAGACATCATAAAAGATATCAGGGGAAAAAAAACAATAATACTGTTTCTATTCATGTGATTTGYGTACATGTATGCTAACAAAAAAAAAGACTTGATGAAAACTTTTACCATAATCAAAATATTACAGAAAATGAACTAGATAGAGCGGGTCAAAGGAGAAATAACAACAACTCAAATCTTCATTTTTTTTAAGTAACATACAAATACAAAATTTAAAATATTAAAAATATGAAAATCTGCACCAAAAATACCCCAATCAGCTGATCCAAAAATCCCCCCTTTATAAGAACAATTTCTGGATAATTTGACTTGAAGAAATGGTAATAAAAAATACATTTCTGCACATAAAATAAATACGCAGTATTCTTCTTTCAAGAATCTTCAAAACACCATTATGTTTACAGATTAAGCTGGTTTTTCAATTTTGTTTTGTAAACATAACCTTATTTTCATAAGTTTGAATTAATTTATAAAGAAGTAAACATGAATTCAAAATGTTCAAGAAAATCATAAAATCCCAATTTCTGTTAAATGTTTGTGAAGAAACTCTTAGCTCTTAATTATTCTCCAGAAAGATTTCTTGGTGTATAGAATAAAACATCAAAATAAGACTGCAACAATACATTATTGATATCACAGAAAACCACATCTACATTTAGGAGAATGTTCATGAAAATAAAACGATTATTCTGGAAGTTTCCTTCCTTTATGTCTCCTCATTGTGAAAAAGGGGTAGCTTACAAARTGCCATAAAACAAGTTGAGAAGTTAGCTTTTGTGTGAGAATTACATAGATAAGCTTATATGCTTTAGAATGTGCTAAAGAAGTCGGTAAAACAAAATTCGTGAATGTTTTAAGCTTATTTCTGACAGAAAACAAAGAAATATATAGAAAATCGGGATTATAATCAGAATCGCTGCAAACGAAGRGAAAATTTTCATTTTTTCTAAGYCAGACCTGTGAAACTACACTCGTTTTAACAGCACTTGATGCAAGATTGTCCGTCTTGTCGTTCGATGGTAAAGAGTCTTTTTGAGTTGTCGTGTCTTGATCTCCAGAGGTTGAAGGGACAGAATCCTTGCTTGATTTCTGTGCTTTTTCCATCTCTTCCATACGTTTTTTATACATTTCTAGAAAACTACCATCATTGACAAACGTATTTTGCGTACTTTCTGCTTCATTTTCTGTTCGAGTATCGTTATTTTTGGACATCAAAAATGAACTTGTTCCAAAATTCACCTTCTTGGACGCCATTTCGGTGGAACCTCACAATCATGCTCGACCCAGGAACCTCTTCATATTATATATACACAGGGATCCCAACTTGCGCTGAAGTCTTATCGAACAACTTTAAAGTTATCTCTGAAATTTTTAGTGGAAAACATAGCTGGATGCATTGCAAAGGATGTCCATACTAGTAAAATTAACTTTTTTGACTGCATAGTCTTAATGGGGATGTAGGGATTACATGAACTCAGAAACATGTAATGAATGACTGGGAAATAAATCGCGCACTTTAAAGATTGTCCTGATGTAAATACGATGCAAGTGTCCAAACTGATGTAAATTTGATGCGCGATATTTTCTAGCGATGGTCCCTTGCATTGTACAAACATTATTTTTATTTCTATTTTTTTTTTTTTTTTAAAGACTCTAACATTATTAAGACTCTAAGAATACCAACATTTCTTTTCTTCAATAAGACTTTTTATTGAAATTATTTGAAGTAATATAAAGTTCAAAGGCGCTCAGAGAGATGCCTTCGTGCTGCGCTGCATTACACACAAGGTAAATATATGTAAATGTGTAGTGCGTGCATGTGCACAGAATATTGAATATTGTGCATCAAGAACGTAAGCAACGAGAAAAACGTCTATCTCTTTTCTGGAAGTATTTTCCGCCGTCGGTCAGTTAGCAGATAAATATATCACCTGCATGTTTCTACGTTATCAACAAAAATAAAAATAAGAAAATAACTTTCCCATGTAAGAAACCTTATCTTTTAACTATATTCTCTTGATATCAAAATTGCGCTAAAAAACAGAAAATCATTCCTTTGATTAGTGTTGTTTGCTTTTGACTTTGACCCGAATGCAGGACTAAACTGGCAAGGATTATAAAGGGGCCTATATATATATATATTCTATAGCACTTGAACAAGACCACATGCCGCAGCCTCAAAAGAAGGTGACATCTTTGGCAGAAAATTATTCGTAGCAACCCGGCCTTTGTATGTCAACTTTCGTAATATAATTGTGTAGCTACTAAAATAGTATAGATTATAGATTAGCGAGAAATGGCGAAAATCACATGAAACTACCCATGGTGCATTGTATAATGATATACTGTTAGCCGTCAGAATTTTTACAAATGACTGTAACTTAACGTGTTTAATGCATTTCTTGTTATTTGCTTCGTTCTTCTAACTCTTCTTCAACATAAATACTTTGAGCTGTGTCTCAGATTTGGGCAATCTGTTGCTCGATCGTCGTTTAAAAGTACTTTCGTGATGCAAGTCTGAAACTCCAGTGTAATACAATTAGCATATCAACTGATATTAAAAGTAACATTATAAGCCAATTCAATTGTTTTTAAGGACTGCGCAATAATTAGGAGGAGGGGAGGAGGAAGATCCCATTGGGGGTCGAACATAGTCAAAAACAAAATGTGAAGAGGGGCCAAGTTCACCAATGAGGGAGAGTGGGGAGAAGGATGGGGGGGGGGGGGGGGGGGGGTGAGGTAACATCTAGCTATAAATCAAAACTGATCACAAAACTCAGCAAACGAGTAACCAGTAAGATGATTTCAATTATAATTTGGTCATTTCGTGTACACTAAGTCCTACTCTGGGACCCAAAATCGCTTAAAACCTCCCCAATTAATCACCCCAATTCCCCACATCAAAGTCGATTTATTATGAGAAATGGAGAGATGCTAAGAACCTGAACTAGTATAAACCTATACCAGAGTATCCGATAGTCACACATTAGCGCAAGCTAGCTAAGCAGTACTGACAAGTTCTAGGTTCTAAGCTTCTCTCGTAAGCTTTCAGTTAGACGTACCATGGTTAGTATGGTTAGTATGGTTTGCCTCTATTAGAAATATTACTGACATTAACTCTTTTTAAATCCTTCCTTAAAACTTATTTTTTCATTTTTTCATTTTTTCATTTTTTTATCTGTTTTTTTTTTTCTCAGCGCTTAGATCTGAGCTGTATAAGCGCTTTAAAAATTAACATTATTATTATTCTTTTTATTAGTCAGTCTTCTAACTCTGAATGAGGGAGGTAGTTTAATTTTCTAGTATTAAGGAGCCATGGTAATTTTTCAGCTTTTTTCACTGACTGGCTCTTTTCTCAACTCCTCCTCCCTCCTTGATAATTATTGCACAGACCTTATCTTTTTTTTAGACAGTGCAAACACGTCAATTTTAATGCTGTATATGGCAGTAAAGGTGAAGCTGACTGAGCAACATACACGCACTCTTTGAACACCGAAAGTTACTTACCTATTCTTGGTCTTGTTCGGGTATATCTGATGCACATGAAGACCCACTTGTGATAGATGATAGGATGATAGGATGATAGGATGATATGGATGATATGGATGATATGGATGATATGGATGATAGGTCGAGGTCATTTTGTCCTCTAGGTGTACCTCCTTGCGCTAGGGATTGTACGCGCTCTTGCAGTTGTGGATCTTCGACGAATCCGCTGTCCAAAGGCCGAGGGTTTCTCAGTTTTTCAGCTTGAGAACCACGTAGGTTCCTCTGGTCCACTATTGGATCAATTCCTTCAGCTAAAGGAAAAAATGTGCGGTTAGGGACTGCGCAATATTTATCAGGAGAGGGGGAGGGGGTGGGGTAAAAAATGAGTCAAAAAATCAATACCCCCTCGCAAACGAAATAAATTACGTTCTGCACCTCCCCCCCCCCCCCCCCACCGTGAATGTATTTATTCATTATTCCTGAATAAAGAGTTGTCGCAAATCGTGGCACGCTTTTCTTGAGAAGTTTTCGAATCTGACACCGTTGATTTTTCAGTTTCCCAATTAAAATTCTAATTAATTTTAGACGTTCCTCTCCTCTTTATTAAGCACATAAAGCTAGATATTTCCCCCCTCTGGATTTTTAACCCCCCCCCCCCCTCCTGATAAATATTGCGCATTCCCTTACACTAGAATGTAAATTCAGTACTTAATAATATACTAGGTTTTGTTATGCCGCACAGAAGTTCACTAGCCTTGTCGTCCCTTGAGCGGTTCTTGTGATTTTGTGTGGACGCTTAGATCCAAACTTTTCGTGTCTCTTGTTATTTTTGATATTTCAGACCCCTGTTCTTGATCTCCTCCAAAATCAGTGCCTGTAAAGAAAAGCAAGTTCAGATTACAACAGTGATATTTCAAAACACAATACATAGTCAGTAAAAATCAATCTTACCACTGTCATGCAGAGAGGAAGCCATGAAAGGGGGACAACTACTGTAAGTGTGACTTGGACGAGTAGGACCTCTACTACGCATGTCGTCAGGTGGCATTCCAGACCCACCCATTCCAAACCCTGCAGCTCCTTGATTTAGATCCGCTGAATCTAACAACAGATAATAGAATTTATATTGCTACCAAGGTCTAAATAAAGTTTTTATATTCCAAGAATAAGATAATCTGATAAATAAACATCCGATTTGCAGTTGCGACTTCCATGATGTATCTAAAATTCATTTTGATCTTTGGGTCTCCTGTGGTTTTGAGATTAATGGTGGTTGTAACTAAGGGAATTCAAACAGGAATCGCAATATCAAAGATATTACTGACAAAAATGAAAAACAAAGTCAAGAAAAAAGAATGTTACCTCCGGCATTTAGATTTAAGAGAATTTAAATCAGTTTCAGTACTTACTTGTATTTTGATTTTCATCAATGACACTGATAGCTCTTTCCACTGGTAGTGATGCTCTGTTGAAGGTTTGCAGTTGTTCATTCTTTTCCAGTTCATCATCAAATCCTTCATTAAAAAAAACATGATGTATTATCTGTATTTTGTTATTGTTGTCAGTTTTTGTTACTGTCATTTCTTTTTTTAACCGAGACAGATATATACTTTTCCACAATTTTAATTTGATAAAAAGGTCATCATCTTTATGTCACAAAAAACAAAACAAAAACAAACAAACAAACAGTTGTTCACAATTGGCCTTTCCGAGATTGAAAAGGAGACTGGAGACGAAGGAAAATAGTGTAACAATCACTCGTAATCAGTTCAATCAGAAAACTTACTCGAGATCAGCATATTTTACCTTTGACATATTTTGCCAAAATGTGAATACAATCAGCGCGTCCTATATTTGCCAAGCCATTCTTTAGATCTTGTATTTTGTATTCCTTCTCTAGGCTGGTGAGAACGTAGTCTATCAATTTATTAGTTGGACTCTCAGGACATTCTGATGCTTGGAAGTCCAGGATATCGACGTCGTCACTGATATAGCCTTGTTTTTGGAACTTTTCTGCCAGTTTATACAGGAGGTTGTTGTGAGTTGCATTGAGTTTGGGCTCAATCACATCACACATTAATTCTGCTTCCGAAGGCAGGTCTTTCAGAAAGTTTTTTTCTGTTGAACATGAACAATGATAGATTGAAAGAACAAGAGACTGTAAAGATTACCCTCATGGGCTCCGAAGGATGCTTGTTGAACAGAAGAACGCTTGATCGCATATTGACTTAGTGTTCAATTTAAACATTGGGTTTGAATAATAATGTAATAAACCGATGAATTACGGACTTTTTTTTACCTGGTATGCTTTTTAATTCTTCCAAAAAACTGTTTTCCCCAAGGTCTCCTAGAAATATCTTTAACTTTGATACCTTTAGACGAGGAGACTGAGTTCGCAAAATATCAAAGAAAGTGCGAGTTGGGTTGAATTTTGGGTCTCTCAAAAAAGTAGAACACTTTCTCTCACTAATATTAAATGCTTTTGCAAGTCCTTTCCAAGAATCATTATAATCAAGTTGTAAGATTAGTTTGCCTTTGAGTGCGTTGTTCTTGTTTTCTAGATCTGAAACATAGTCTGTCTGGCATATTTTCCCATCTATGAAAAAAGAAAAACACAGTGAATGAAGAAATTGATAAGGCCTAGCAGGGACGGATCCAGCAATTTTCAAAACAAAAATGGCGGGGACTTTTCCTGGGAATTTGCCTTGCTTCGTCAACTTAGGCCCTGTTTACATGGGAAAAAGTTTGTCCCTGGTAATAGGGTTACACTCCTACCCAATTCAAGTTATATGAGGAAAATGCTAGCCTTTGTGATCCGGTCAACTACTAGTCCTAATGATGTGCATGAGAGAGATTGAGAACAATTTAATCGAATGCGCACACTCAAGACATACATCCCTCTCTGATTTTGTCTCAGTTGCCCAAGACAGGTGTTTACATGGAAGAAAGGTGTCTCGGGTATGAGGATAAACCTACCGGTAGGGAAACCCTTCTGGCGGAAACTCATATAAACAAGTCTCGATCTTGTCATAAAAAAATTGCCTCGCTCAGGGTAGCTCGGGTAGGAGGCCTCTAGAATATTAACCCTGTCACCAGGAACAACTTCGAGCCTTAATTAATTTTCAATGAAAAATGCATCCCCGGGCTAGAGCGCAATGCAATGACGCTAGAACATAAACAAGCGTTTTGTTAACATCGATGTATATAACAAACCTTTGATGGCTGATTGAATTGTTCTTAGAGATTGAGGAGCATTCTTCGCCAAGGTAAGCCTGTCACAAAGGTGTTTGATCAGAAGGTTTGGATAAATGCTTTCGAGACACTTAAACAGATTCTCGGATGGACTTATTTCTGAGCCAGCGATCTTTTTTCGAATATCTGCATGGATAGGAAACTCCATTGCGAGATTACGATGGTCTTTGAGTTTTGAACGAGGCGAATGTACCGGGTCAAGGGCTTTGCACAGATCGTAAATGAAGTTTTGGTTTTCCCACAATGTTTCGAGATTATCATCTGTGTCAGTAAAAAACAAAACAAGCTAAAACAATAAACTTGTTTGCTAGATCGCTAGAAGCAAACTATCTACATTACTTCCTCGTTATCTGACACTGGATGTTCTTTCACTCTGACTTCCTAAAATTATTCGACTGACTCTCCGGCTGAAATAACAACTGACCACACCTCTATAGAATGACTGTCTTCCTGGACTAACTGCATGGTTCATTAAATGAAATGACTGGCTACTTGGAAGGACTGGATGCCTTGTTTAACTGTCCAATCTGGAATAACTCCCTACTGAATAAACTGTCTTGAGCTCATATGCTCATATGGCTAGCTGGCTGCAGAATACTGCTGGATGCTTGAAAGTGGTGGGTGTGTGGAATGAATGACTGTGCGGAACGACTGTTTTTCGTGGTTTATTATTAATCATAACTAACTAAACTACCTAAAGTCGGCAGTGTTGTAGGTCAATGTCCATATAGAATGTCTGCCTGTTTGGAATGACTGGATGTATTATTAAGTTATACCAAACCTGGTAAAAGCCTATCGTCCTCCTTTGCTGTTGCGGATTTTTGTGTCTCTTGAGTAGGCTTTGGGAGATCTATTTTTTCCAAAGGTATATCAATTAATTCGTTTAAATCAGTTGATTAACAGAAGTTTATTGTTAAGCCCAATAACTCATGTGGTCGTAAATTTGTCTGAATGAAAATTCGATTAGTGGCATAGCATTCGAATGGGAGAAACTTCCATCAAAATAACACTACTTGATTCATCAAATGTTAGTTTAACAAGTAATTTTGTCCTACATTCCTCTCAGTTTTTTAATATAATTAAGATGAAAAAATATCCAAGATGACGGATCCAAGATGGCGGATCAAAAGACGGTACTGATTCCATAAAGTCGTAGTTTTCGCTCCTTGATTTTTTTCGAAACAAGTTTGTACAAACGAAAACGAGGCTGTTGTTCATTAACCAATTTTCCGAGAGTAAAAAGAAAACCCGAGTTCTACCAGGAAATAATCATATGATAGTTCTACTTTGTCTACGAAAAAATAAAGTAATGATTGGTTTTATCAAATTCAGTAATTTGGCGTGGCCGAAAGAGGTATAAATTGTTCCAGACAGTCGCCTAGCGTGTGAACGTCTAAAGAATATATACAAATAACACCAGCTTACAGCTCAATGTCCAAGAAAATGTTGATTTTAGGCATACAAGCCCTTTTGATGCGGACTGAAATCCAAAATTTAGCGACATGCTTCAAATTCTGCTACGATACAGTTCTTCGTACTTGTATGGTTTCTCAAGCCCGTGACCCGTGACGTATCTCTGCGAGCGCTGTTAATATATAAAATATAGGCCCACTATCAGCACTATAAACCTGAAAGTCCCCTTCACAATTATTACAACCTACCACTTTGAGACATGAACTGAAGAAATGGCAGAAAAAATGGAGGACCATCTTTGTTAGAGAAATCGACAATTCCAAGGAACTTAGAGTTTTGGCTAATGACAGGAGCTCCTTGTACAGCGAGGCCATACGAAGCACATCTCTTCAAACTTTCGATCAACACAGGCTCCTCTGTATATCCGCTGTCCATCAAACAGTCCTCAGTCTTAAACCAAAATTTGTAGATTTGAAGCTTTTGTGTTGACGAAGACTTCTTCACAACAAAGGCATTAGAAAACATCCTCTCTTCGTCGATGTTATTTTGATTTATAAGTGGTACTCCTTCGAGATTAGCCGTTTCCTTAAGTTGCCAGCTGGGCTTTTCTACTGGGACAACTGCAATTTCACGATTCATATAATCTTTATCCAAATCACTACCAAGCTCTACATTCCATGGTTTTCCATATAAATTTCGAAACGATGCAACCAGTTTTCCATTTGGATAGTTTTGAAAGAGCTTTTTCGAAGTGGCAACTTTCAAAGTAGTGGATTTCAGATCTTCTTGGGTGCGAATCAGACACCCAGTTCCAACCACATTTCCGTCTGACAAAATTTGACAGATGTTTGGTTCTACAGCCGTATCCATATCGTCGGATTAGTTAAATTACAGTAGAAAACAATTTGAAACAACAACTCGTCGATTCTTAGAAATGTTTGCAATACTTTTATCTACTCTCTCTACTTCCGCTTACATTATTAATTTGGTAGACGCTGACCGTAAAATCACGGGCGATGAGACCATCTGCAATCTCGGTTTGAAATAAAAAAGTTTAATTGAATCACGACATTTGGGATTAATTTTTGGAATAACCACGACATTTTGCTATCAAAAATATAAATCTCAATTGAACGAATGCCGTGCAATACGTCATCAAACTTTCCTTTTCCAGCTTTTCTTTGTTTTCAACAACGCGGTGGGTATTTTCAAGGGCGTATCCAGCTGAAATTTTAAGGGGGAGGGGGGCTAAATGGTTTTAAGGGAGCTAAATGGGTTTTATTTGTTATAAACAACATTGAAAATAATAAAAAAAGTTACCTTTTATGCTCAAAGGAGGGGCTACAGCCCCCCCTTGCCCCTCCCTGGATCCGCCCTTGATTTTGCCAAACTCATTCGACGAACAGAGAGAGTCCAACGTGGAGGGAACATTCAGAATATCGTAAGTCTTCCAAGTCTATGAACGTACAAACGATGAATTGTTCAAATTTTATTTACATTGACTTTGAAATAATTTGTTTGGCAAAAAGTTCCATGCCATTAAATGAAAGGCACGTATGTGCACATACCACAATTTTACAGAGTAAAACCTTTTTTTACGGAAACCAACACTTTATTAAACGGAGACTTTTAAAATTACTACCACAAACCCTCTTTTATTAATAAAATTAATGAAAATTATCTTATACATATATAATACATATCTTCTAATCCACCCTCGACCACACTGGCATTTTGAATTTAGAAAATATCGTTATCTGGTTAATAACTACGCGCATGTCTTCTAAAAATAACTATTGTTTTGTTGCTATAAATGACATGTTTATCAACTTTACATTGGTTCAGGTTGAGAAATTTTAAATACTGACAATGATTACAAATACCGCTGCCATTATTATAGAGAATTTTCTCTATAATTACTTTTTTCACAACCAAAGGTAAAATACATCTCAAAATCGGGAAACTTAATGTAACTTTAGGATAAATGAGATGTCAGCCCCCCTTACCCCCTGGAAATGAGTTTCCACTAATGACATCATGGTTTGTTTAGATCAGAGAGTTATGGCGTCTTAACAAAAATGGTTCATTGGAAAATAACATTATTAGGATGGCTACACACAACTTTTGTCTAAAACTATCGAATGCATGCAATATCATCCTTACAACGGCTACAATAGAACTGTTGTTGAGAGTATTTAAAACATTTTGAATCTTTATGATGGTTGTAATTTGGGCAGGTTGAATTAGATAGTTCTAAAGGTAATTGTGACGACTAGTTCTGTAAGTCTACTCAGAGACCAGTTACGTCAATCTTCTGTCAATCCCATGGTGCATCTTGCAGACAGGGGGTGGGGGGGGGGGGGGGGGGGGGGGGGGGGCATTTGAAAGGCCCATTATGAATAAGGATGTGTGTTTTTGTCTCTTGGACATACCATAATTTTGAAATCCTCCAGCATGGCAACAGGGTATTGATAATCATAATAAAAGGTCTCTTCTATGTGAAGATAGATTATTTTAAATACAAAGTATTTAAATATTTTTGGATTGATTCAATTTTGAATCTCATTTGATTCATTGTACTTTTGTGGTGTGATCTGTGTACAGAGGACATGTTTCCTAAAAAAGAAATAATATCAATAAAGTTAGTGCAGAAACAAGAATTCTCACTGTGTTTATGGTAATTATTTTTTGGGGGAGTGCACAGGAAAACCAAAAGAAGAATAGCCTGTAAAGGAGTCTTCAGTCAAAAAGAATCACTCTACATCCAGGGCATTGAAAATGGAATAATCAATAATGTTGAAGTCTTACTATTGTTGTAAGAAGAGAAAAGAACTGGAAGTTTTCAGTTGTCATTATGATTTTCAACTACCAGAAAAGCACTTCAAAATCAAAGAAAGCTGTGTTCGTGAAGTGGCGATCAAAAAGAGACAAGTTTATTTTCCATCTTTTTTTCCTCAAAAACGTTCCTAAAACTCGGGTTGCGGCTTATCTACGAGAGCGGCTTATACATGGGTAAATACGGTACATCATCACTTTTGGTTTTAGCCTGATTTTCAGTCGACCTGGATCCCTAGGTAACATTTTCTTCTACAAACTTTGTTTTTTGTTTTTGCTTTTGCTTTTGTTGTTGTTATTTTTTGTTTGTTTTTGTTTTCAAATAAAGTTTGGACAGAAAGGCATTAGCTAGTTTTTGTTTTTAAGACTTTTTATTGATGCTTAGCGAGATAATTAATTAGTAAGTGACATCTGAGTGACGTTACACTTGTTTGATTGCAAGAACGTAATGGGAAATGAACGTAATCGGAACAAAATGACCACTAATGTGACAGTTTAAAGTTTGTGGAGGAAAAAATTAGCCTTGGACCCAGCCCCATATAAAAATCATGCTAGTTTTGTTTATTCTTATAAAAGACTTTTGCACACTGGCACATCATACCTCATCACTGTCTCTGGTGACTGAATCTTGTCTTTGGTGCTTTTTGGAACATTTAGAAAATCTTGAACAGTCAAACATCAGCCTGGGGTCTATAGTCTGGCTGTATTGGTTTCCTGTTGGAAAGTATACACAGGAATGACAATACTCTTGACAATGAAAAAGCAAGCAATAGTATTAATGAATTTAATCAGAAAAGAATCAACTTACTGAAGATATAACTAACTAGCAATCCAATGACAATTGTTATTATGAATCCAATTGGACCATACAGAAAGAATGATATGTTGTAAAACGTATGTGGTGATTTTCTGAAAAAANTGAATAAGGATGTGTGTTTTTGTCTCTTGGACATACCATAATTTTGAAATCCTCCAGCATGGCAACAGGGTATTGATAATCATAATAAAAGGTCTCTTCTATGTGAAGATAGATTATTTTAAATACAAAGTATTTAAATATTTTTGGATTGATTCAATTTTGAATCTCATTTGATTCATTGTACTTTTGTGGTGTGATCTGTGTACAGAGGACATGTTTCCTAAAAGAGAAATAACAGCCATAAAGTTAGTGCAAAATTTATCACTGTGTTAATTGCCTTATGGTAATTATTATTTGGGGAGTGCACAGGAAAACCAAAAGAAGAAGAGCCCGCAAAGGAGCCTTCAGTCAACAAGAATAAGTACATCCAGGCAATGAAAATGGAATAATCAATAAAGTTGAAATCTTACTATTGTTGTAAGAAGAGAAAGAACTGGAAATTTTCAGTTGTCATTATGATTCCTTCATGATTTTTGACTACATCACTTTTCGTTTTTGCCTGATTTTCAGACGGACTTGGTCCTACGCTAACACTTTCTTCTACAAACTTTGTTTGTTTGTTTGTTTGTTTTTACTTTTGTTGCTGTTGTTTTTCTTTGTTTGTTTGTTTTTGTTTTCAAATAAAGTTTTGAGAGGAAGGCATTAGTTAGTTTTGTTTATCATTATAAAAGACTTTTAATTTATGCTTAGCGTGATAATTAATTACCGGTAGTAAGTGACCGATCTGAGTGACGCTACACTTAATTGATTTCAAGAAGGTAACGTGACAAGTGCTGACAATAAACGTGATTGGAACAAAATGTCCACTAATGTGACAGTTTAAAGTTTGGGGAGGAAAGAATTAGCCTTGGACCCAGGCCCATATAAAAATCATGCTAGTTTTGTTTATTCATATAAAAGACTTTTACACACTGGTACATCATACCTCATCACTGTCTCTGGTGTTTGAATCTCGTCTTTGGTGCTTTTTGGAACATTTAGAAAATCTTGAACAGTCAAACATCAACCTGGGGTCTACAGTCTGACTGTATTGGTTTCCTGTTGGAAAGTATACACAGGAATGACAATACTCTTGACAATGAAAAAGCAAGCAATAGTATTAATGAATTTAATCAGAAAAGAATCAACTTACTGAAGATATAACTRACTAGCAATCCAATGACAATTGTTATTATGAATCCAATTGGACCATACAGAAAGAATGATATGTTGTAAAACGTATGTGGTGATTTTCTGAAAAAATATCAGCATTTGTATCAGTAAATCAATTGATCCAACTGTCTGTCAACTATTCAATCTTATTCAATTAAAAAACTACTCAGTTGATCAACCTACTTCTCTATCAGTCAATCAAAGGCTTAATCAATAAACCCACCTCTCTCTGTACTAATCAACCACTCAATCAATCGATCCACCTCTTTAGCAGTCAATAAACAGCTTAAATCAATCAACCAACCTCTCGTCTATCCATCAATCAACAGCTTAATCAATCGACCCACCTCTCTCTGTCAATCAACCACCCAATCAATCAATCAATCAATCAACCAACCTCTCTATAAGTTGATCATTAGATAAATCAATCAACCTACTTCTCACTCTATTAATCAACCACCAAATCAATCAATCAATCAATCAATCAATCAATCAATCAATCAACCCAACTCTCTATCAATCAGCCCACCTGTCAATCAACCAATTACTAACTAACAACTAACTAAATACTGAAATAATTACATCATGTACACTCAAATAATTTTCATTTAATGAACTGTATCTGCATTTGCATAAAATACTAAAGACTATTTTGCTTCAGCATTACCAAATTAATAGTGGGCTAGCCTGCGTGGCGGCTGAAGGGGAGGGGGTGGGGAGGTGGAGCGTTTTCTCCCTCCCCCTCCCCTAGAGCCACCACGCAGGCTAATAGTGGGCTTTCAAATATTACATTCCGATTGGCTACACTACTCAGAGTCTATTTTTAATAGTCCTCCACTAGTGAAAAGTGCCAATTTTGATTTTCTTTAAGAAATATTGTGTGCCAAATCGATGTGTTAAGGACCATTTTAAGTTTGTTCACTCAAAAAAGCTTTCACCAGCATGCAGTGARTTTATTTTTCTCTTGTCAAACATGCCAAGTATGTCAAACGAATTCAAAGGTGATTTTATGCAAATTCAATTAAGGCTGTAATCACAAAATTTTAGCAATAACAACATTTTGTTATTTCTATATTTCATTCATTTGTATGTCCAACTATCTTATATGGTACATGTAATGCTAAAACAATTAGACCTCTTGGCCTTGTGGACTATGAACTCATAGCCTGTGGGGCCACTATCAGGTCGTAAGTCCATACGTACTTAAGCTCAGGAAGTATATGTATAGTTGAATTTGTGAATGAWGTATTTGTTATATCAGCAATGCATCCATCAACTGACACAGGAAGAATTGGGTAGTTTGGTGGGTACACTTGTGCACCAATGGATATCCATGCCACCACAAAGAAAGCAGCTATGGATCCTGATAACACTCCCTAAACAAAGAAATAATTTTGAATGGTTGTTGGACACTGACTGGAAAAGGATAAACAGTATGCTAAGGGTCCTTATAATGTAAATTTCAGTCTGACTCTTCTTAAACCAGGCTATTATATGCTGGGTTTTCATGTATATTAACATCACAAAGGACATTGCTTAAACTAACCTTTGTGTTCGCAGTTTTGAAAAGAATTCCTARTGTGAATATACCAAGCATTGGGCCACCAATAATACCAAACATTGAAGCACTCATCTAACAGTAAAACAATATCATTATTATAATAGTAAGCGATTGCGGCTTACTATTATATTTATACTCATGCTGCTGAAGGAAAACTTCGCAAGAATATCATTACTACTTCACTAAGAACACAGTAAATACAAAAAAGATGACAATAAGTAATAAATTTATAAGTATAATAATTGGAACTAAATAGTATTAAAAATATACACAAAATACCTGTAAAATCATTCCAAACTTTGAAGCAAGGAATGCAAGACCAAGTGCAATAAGTCCATAACCAAAAACTAAAAATAATATCCAAATAATAAAATTATAATGATAATATAATAAAAATATAATAAGATCCACAAATTAAAATAGTCTGCATGTTGTTGCTACTCAAAATAAATTCAGTACTAACAAGTCAATAAAGTATAATCATATCATTTATAGCGTCAGCATAAAATTGATTGAAATATTCAGCCAACAACAACAACAACAAACAAAAGTCATATGACACCTGTCAAGCTGATCCTTTCTTACCAAGTCCTTTAGAATACAAGGTTTCTCTTTCTCTTGGAATTACAATAACATATGAGAGAAAATCTTCCACAGTGACAGCAGCAAGGGAATTTAGCCCAGATGCAACAGTGCTAAAAACAATTTGATTGATTTGATTATAAAATTTTATTCACAATGTGCCCATGATAATGTTAAATGGAACCTTACCTAAGTGTTGCACAAAAAAGACAAGCTACAAACACCCCAGGAAGACCAGGTACGCTTTTTCCAAGCACAAAAACCACAAAGTGAGGCAAAATCTACAAAAAAGTCAGAAGTGTTATTTAGTAGTGATTTATTTTTGGAGGTACAGGTAAGGTAAATAACACTTTGAATAAAAAGATAAATTTAACACCGTAAAAAGTAGGTGAAATATAACTTACTGACATTTCAAACGTTAATCCTTCGTCAGAAGTAAAGACGAAGGATTAAAGTCCGAAACGTCATTGTTAATAATTGTTAATAAATAAGTTTATCAGCATATAATTATCTATGAAATACCTATATTTGTCCATTTCGTAAAGTTGATATTTTAACTAATGAAAATAACACATTTTAGGTTTCTCTACATGTATATAGTGGAAGTAAGAAAATTGCTTTCATATGTAATTATATGATAACAGAATATTACATGGTCACTTGGAGATACAAATTTTATCTTCTCCTGTTGAAAATCTCGTAATATCCTCTATATTATTGAAATAATAATAACCTCATCCCTGTTCTTAATTTCTTTAGCACTCAATGGGTCACAWTCTGCATAGTAGGMATATAAGACAATACCAACAAATGCYGTAACAGTATTATTAATCCAATTCAGGGGCAAATTCATCCACACAGCTCTACAATACAAAGAAAAAAAATGATGAGCTGAATTGAAAGAATCAAAAACCAAATTGGTGTCTAGTCTCGCTCGTACATCATTATGACTGACAACCAGTTGGCAAATCTATCAAGTCCACATTGCCASCATTTTTAACTAGATTCTCTTTAAAAAGAGTATCTATGTATAGTTTACAACATGAGCGGCCGTGTTGTATGGGAATTACAATCTCGAGCCTGCGGCTCGAGATTGTAATTCCCATACAACACGGACGCGAATGTTGTAAACGACTTATAAAACTCCAACACAAATTAACATGAATTACAGTGCGATAAATGACGAAAAATGACTAATAAGGTAACTGCTGAGTTTAGTCCCTATTAAGCATGCGCAATTTACTGCAACACAGAACATTTTGAATAATTATCCATCCCACATGGAAAGCAAGCCATCTGTTGCATAAGCGAGTTCTGTTATCCGTCTTTGATTGCTTCAAAACCTAGTGAAGGTCTATGATGCGACACTAAAACTGAGACCTTTGCTAGTGTTGGGTTGTCTCAATGGTGACGACCGTGTTGTAAATCTGATACAACCACTAGTGGTTGTATCAGATTTACAAGGTCAATCACCTGATTAAATGGTCAGCCCTTATTGGAGCAATAGCTTATGCATTATTAATAAGTTTTATAATGTATAATACAAACACTCYTTGTAATTTATGCTTGATTGAAGCTAAGCTTGCACAATGAAGAGATATTTCTTTAAAATCAAATACCTCTTTGCACTTTTGAAAGACTTTGTTGTTAGGAATCTCTGAACTGCAGTTTGGTTGGTGACATAAACAGGCAGATTTTGAAATACGCCAGCGATGACAACTGCCCATATTGTAAGACGATGAGTTGGATCAAACGAATAACTABCCAAATAAGAACAATTATAAATCAATATTAAGTAAACAATGTGCTTCCACTGGTCTTTGCAAGAAAACACCTCTTGTACGTACATGTTATATATTTTTGTGAGAGGTCACATTTTTCTTGCAAGCAGGAAGCATTTTAGATAATACAATATCTTAAAAATTTAAGTRTGCATGGAAAGTATCTATTTCTTATAAACAGGTCAAGAATTCATGTACTATGACAAATTTTGTGTGAACTTTGGAATTCAATAGAGACAGTCCAACATTGCACCTTATTAGGTATAGGACTACCCCAATATAAATAAATAAATAAATGTAATCAATAATCTTTGACCAAACTTACTCAAAATCAAATCTTTTTCCTTTTTTTGCAGTTTCAAACACTTTATTTAAACCACCAACACGGTCAGCGCCAACAGTAATAATCACAAACAACCCAATTAACATGACAACACCTTGAAAGACATCAGTCCAGATCACAGCCTTCATACCACCCTAACAAACAAAATAATATAATTATCAATTAAACATAATACAATTATTAAACAAATTTAATCATTAATTATTATCCAATCTGTATGCAATCTTGGTAAACATAAACCACCTACAGTGGCGGATCCAGGGGGGTTCCATGGGTTCCTAGGAACMCACCTCAAGCATAAAAAAATGAAATAAATGATAAATGAAATAAAATGAAAAYGCATGGTACAATTGCTACAGTTCGAGAGTCACAGTAAAAAAGTTYGTTTTAGGAAAATGCGAAAACAAAGTGAACCCCCCTTTGAAAAATCCTGGATMCRCCACTGACCTAGCCCAATGTMTGAGAGTACATGCACATTCAATTCCATGATGTTCTTTGTGTTATTTATGTTTCACAATTTTCAAATTTCATGCACTGTAAAAAACATAGGTTCTAAATTATGCGCTTAACATCTGCTTCATGGTTCCCTGGCTTTGCATTGAAGTGAGACAACAAAGGAGCAATGATGCAAAGATAGATACCTAACTTTGATTCACACCTATATAGACAATTATTCAAAGGCATCTATCATTGCACGCTAAGAGCCATCTTGTTTCAATGCACAGAGTGACACAGCTACCTTRAAGGTAGCACAGGGAACCGTGAAGGAGACAATGTTTTTCTTTACTAATTTATTGATTTAGTATGAATCACATTATAGTTTTAATGGATAAAGTGAGTACTCTAGCAGACTGTTTACTCTCAATTAAATAATAGCACCACACAATCACGTTAACCGCTTTACCATTGTTTTCAAAATATATTGTTCAGTTTATCATATTTTCTAGAAAACAACTTACCAATGTAGTGTAGAATGTGCAAGTCAACCCAACAACTAACACACCAATCCACAATGGAAAACCAATGACTAAAGAAAAAATAAAATGCAATAATAATGATAGATGAAATCACATGGTTATCTATAGGCCTTAAGTACTTACCAGCTTCCAATGTGAGTGATGGTCCATAGAGGGCAATAGCCAGATACAGAAGCTAAAGAATGAAGCAAAGACCTTATGTATTATTTGAAACACAGTGGATGTACGATAACCATTGCATTATTAGTTATATTAATAGTTATTAGTATTATGAATACACATTTCAGAGATACTACATGTACTGTAGTAAAATTGCTGCCTATGTAGGTTGTTTTCTGTCATTGTGAGACAAACAAAGCATTGTATGGTCATATGTGTTCTGACCAGGATTGTCTTTCAGGGGGTCGAAGGGCCCATCAGTTCAAAAATGAGGGGTCATTAAGTGGGTTGAGAAGCCTACATGYGCAGTMACACAGATTAGTGCCAGATCTCTTCAGCAAGTGAAATCCAATATGGTGGCCATGTTCGTGTTTGTGTCATTTTTTTGTAATTTTTGTGTGTACTTTCACCATGTTTATTGACAATATAATTAGACTTTTAATATTTTAAAAAGTACTCTATGTCTTTGCAATCAATCAGTATTTCTGGATAATTCTTGTGCCATTAAAGTCACATTAAGTTTAAATTTATGGCCATTTCATTTTGTTATGCGTGAATACTGCAAAGGCGTAGTCTCTTTTAACAGCCGCAACTTCCGGTCTCGTCAAATTTCCTCCTCRAAAGTAATGGCTGTTTACCCAGGTCCAACATTCCTTTCCCTTTGATTGACCAATCAAGGCTTAGCTCCTGAAAACCAGGAGCCGTTCGCGCCATGATAAAACTAGATAGTTGTTATTGTAGCTGTGAAATTTAAATTAGAGAGTTAAACGATTATCAAAGGAATGCTATTCTCAAGTTTATAGTAGAGAGAGTCTATGTGTTTTTTTAAACATTGGCATGTATTTTCGATCACAAGTTGGGTTCATCAGAAATTTTYGCCTCTGTGTGCTTAATCCGTTTTAAAAACTTGCTTGAAACAAAGAAAACACTCACTATTATCTCTGATAAAYGTCTTTGGCAAACTCAACATCACTAACTACAAACAGGGTGCTGGAATGAAGTCGCGCAGGAAATTTATCAAGTTTAATTCAAAACGCTTTGATTGGCTTTGATCCTCTCTCTCTTCTTTTGATTGGTTATTGTTAAACAATTGGAAAGGAATGTTGCACCTGGGTAAACAGCCATTACTTTCGGGTAGGAAATTTGATGAGACCGGAAGTCACGGCTGTAAAAGAGACTAGCAAAGGTGCAGCCAGATCAGAACACTGGGTTATATRCTTTCTTCATTTTTTACTTCAATCAAAACAGGGATACCAACAAGATACTAAGATGAACAAGACAATGATAAGAACAAGACAGTATTAAAGATAAACAGTCTAGTTAAGTGGAAAAAGCTGCAAACAAACTAGAGAGATTCCAAGAACTAATGAAATACGAATAGGATACATACTGTTTGAATGACAAAAATTATAGAGGCCAACACTTTAACACTTCTTGAAAACCTTCTCTCTAAATACTAAAACAACAAACAATATAATTAAATATACAATTGTATGAGGAAGTAGCTGATCCCATTAAAGAGTGCTCAATACACATAAAGTGTAGAGCTAGTTATATATATAATATCAAAGAGGCATTAAATAATCAAAATATGATTCACAAGATTTATCTAAATGATAAAGTTTGGATTGATATTACAAATTGAATTTCAGAAATAGGTAAAAGAGATTGTTAAAATGGTTTCTTGTATGCTCATGTCTAGAGTCTAGAGTCCTAGCGTCTAGAGTCTAAAAGTTTTAAGTTACATAAGCGCAAGCTTGAAGGCCATATGGAATAAGCTTAATAATAAACTTTAAGTTATATACCTCATATGTGCTTGTCAACTTCAGATTATAATAAACAGGCAAATAAACGTACGCCACAAGTGGTATAGTAATAAACGCTCCTAACCCTAGCCAAAAGTAGGAAAAACCATACGTGTAAATCTCATCTGGTGTACCAAGAACTGCAACAGAAGAAACGAACGATGCCAAGACAGAAATAGCCACAGGAATGGCTGACATGCTTCTCCCCGCCATTAAATACTCATTATTAGATTGGTTACGACTTCCTACTTTAGCAAAGTAAATTCCTATACCAGCTGATGCGGCTAAAGTTAGGGAAAAAACTACAATATCGGTCACTCCGAAGCCACCATGGCTTTCGTGACCTGTTCCCTCCGCCATTTTTGTTTTGGAATAAGCTGTGAGCCCGCGGTAGTGTTTATATGCGGATTCTCATTCCCAATTTTATACTCSGGAGGATGGATATTGTGTCTGTAAATCAGCTTTCTAACGARGATTTTATCAGTCAATTTGGAAATGTCGTGGAATGTACGTCACTTTGTGCTGCTGCTGTAGCTGGCAATCGTCCTTTTCTAAATTTTAACGACCTTTATCGTAACCTGTGTGATTTTATTGACGCGTTACCATCCAGTGGTCGTGCTGGGATACTTCGTAGCCATCCAGATTTAGCAGGACGACTTGCAAAAGCAAATGCTCTCACAGTAGAATCGACTCAAGAACAAGCTAGTGCAGGTCTTAGTAATCTAACGAAAGAAGAAATGCAATTAATTGACAAGTATAACCAGGATTATCGTCAAAAGTTTGGATTTCCTTTTGTTATTTGTGCTCGTCTGAATAACAAAGAGAGGATYATTAATGCATTGAAAGCGAGACTGGTTAATGACTTGGAGCAAGAACTCAACACAGGGATTGAAGAAGTGAAAAAGATTATGCTACTCCGACTAAAAGACATCGTAAAAACTGACTCTAACCTATAATATCATCCAGTAGATAGGTCAAGGAAGCTACTATCGTTGACAAAATGCGTTGAACGCATTGCATTACAGCAATACTTTGATGTGTAATATCAATAAATGCAATTACTATACCGCTAATATGAGCCATGAAGATTCCGGGCTCGAGATTCCATAAGCTTTTTTCTTTGCTAGATGTTTTCATTTAGTTAAAAAAAAATAAACAATCAGTGTTTTTTCCTATTTTTTCTAATTAATCCAATGGTCATCGGTTCCAAATGTCAGGGACGGTCCCCAAGCACCTGCTATAAACTTCTAAAAACATTCATGAAGAGTGTTTCGGTCCCATATGCCAGAGCGGGTCCCCGGATGCCTGGTAAATAATACACGATGCTCAATGCATTTCTAACACAAGGGGCTGGTTGGGTGACCCTTTTTCATGACTTTTCAAAGTGTTTTTTATTCTTTTTTTATCCTTCTATGGAAATATTTCTTTTTCTAAAATTTAGATTATACAAAATTTAGATTTAGATAAATTTAGATTATACAAAAACATGTTAGCAATAGGTGTATTTTTATACATCTGCATTTTTATACATTGCTCTTTTACTCCGACTAACGTCCGAAACGCCAGTAATGTTATTTAACCGAACCTACTTTTTTACGGTTTTCTGAAATCTATCTTTTTACACAACTGTTTCTTTAGAAACATCTACGCAGCTCACGCTAGTTTACCGCTAGTTCCCAACATTTTGATGTATTTTCATGCCGGCTTTTCAAATATTCCAGTTTCACAAGTGTATTTGATTCTCAGTAATCCCAAAGTAAATAAGAGGCCAACCGAGGCACTCGCCTCGGTAAAATTTTGCCGATGCTTTTTGTTCTTCATCACTAATATTATCTTAGCCTCTCAGAGCCGATTTCGTACGACTGATTTTGTGCAAAAAATATGTTATTTTTGTACCGAATTTTGTACGTGTAGTTTCTTTGTTTCATAAATATTGCATGATGAATTCCGGTTAAATCTGTTCAATAAAGAGTTACCAAAAGGCCCACAAAACGCTGCAAGTTGCATTTCCGAGAAACTGAATTTCAAATTTTCTAGGGGGAGAATGCCCCCAGACCCCCCTAGTTTCTCCCGCCATCGGCGGTCGCGCTTGCCTCGGTTGTCCATTCACTCTGGCTACGGCCCTGAAAACGTTTAGCAAATAACGGCATTCAAGACCTATGATACATGCTTAAAGGGGTCTTATACACCTTTACCATAATGACTGCAATTGTGTTTTTCCAAAATAAAATAGATATGAATATTTTGTCACTGTAACATCAAGGAACTATCAGAAATAAACGTTTTTGGAACGTTTTAGAACTCTGGACAAAATGGGAAAAAAGTTATGGTGAAATAAAATGAAAATATAAAGAAGTGTATGTAATTTTCCACCAATGGCTTTCTGTCTATTTGTTTCTTAATATGAGATATGTGAAAACTTTGTCACTGTCATGTGAATGAACTACCAGAAATAAACATTTTTGGAAAGTTTTACAGCCCTGGATAAAATGCGAACAAAGTTATGGCCAAATGAAAATAGAAGAAATGTATGTAATTTTCAGYCAAGGCCTTTATAGCCTCGTTCTGGTGTTATGATATATTTTAAATCCTTATAACTTCAYCAGAATGTAATATTTTAATTTCAAACTTTTATATGTTGTTATTAGCACAGGTTCCTATCAGCTGTTAGTTCACTTTTGACTAAAATTCTAAATTTTAAAATTTATGTTAATTAGATGGCGGCCATTATGGTAGAGGTGTAYATGTACATAAGATTGAATATATAACTAATGAACCATCTATAGGGACATGAGAGCCTTCTATAGGTACATTAGAGCCATRCATGTGGACATCCATATGTGGAAGTCGTACAACAACCTCTACTGACGGATGCGCACGCTTTAAAAAAATGTATATGTTATCGGCGCGCGCTCTTAGCAAAATTGCGGATTACCTGTGGTACTACGTCACGATCCCTTGCCTCGCGGGTCTACTCTCGGTCTCTACTCATTAGTCTGTTACATTAGTCTGAGCTGTACTATACTATTAGTCTGTGCTAGGGAATGCTAGGGATTGATTGCGTGAAGAAGATGGCGTTCGGTGGTGGCGATAGGAAGCGAAAAATGGAGTTAGACGACGATGTAGAGGTATGTAATGACGCTTGTATGCAAACGTTTGCTTCTGTGGATTTGCTAGGCATTACGAAGATAGTTTTGCTAAAATTTCCACAGACATCGTGTCATTATGAAGTTTGATCCAGCGTTCAGTCTTTTAATACACATTCCCTCGATCGAGGTCTTTTTGTCATGAATTAACTGACTTTTTTGTCTGGAGAAAGTAACTGCTGTTATCGTAAAATCGAGGATGTCTTTGCCGACTTGCATCCCTCGCGTATGTGATCAATTTTCTTGCTTGGGCTGCCTGTGCAATAATCTGCCATCTTGGTCCAACTTACAGCATACAGCTCAGCAATAACACGATAATGATGAAGAAAATAAGTTAGTGGTAATATGAGACATGGTGTTCATTTGAAAGACCAATTATTAAGAATCATGTCCCCCATTGAAATAAGATGGCAATCAGCCCGTGGAGGGACTCCCTTATAAAATCAAGCCGCCAATGGCAACACAACTCGAAGATTGATTGTGCAGACGAATACAGAAAGATATAATGATGAATCAAATTATAATTACTTNTCTGTGGATTTGCTGGCATTACGAAGATAGTTTTGCTAAAATTTCCACAGACATCGTGTCATTATGAAGTTTGATCCAGCGTTCAGTCTTTTAATACACATTCCCTCGATCGAGGTCTTTTTGTCATGAATTAACTGACTTTTTTGTCTGGAGAAAGTAACTGCTGTTATCGTAAAATCGAGGATGTCTTTGCCGACTTGCATCCCTCGTGTATGTGATCAATTTTCTTGATTGGGCTGCCTGTGCAATAATCTGCCATCTTGGTCCAACTTACAGCATACAACTCAGCAATAACACGATAATGATGAAGAAAATAAGTTAGTGGTAATATGATCAAAAAACTGTTGAAGATCTATTTTTCATTTTGATCATTTTATTTCAGTTATGGGGAGAATCAAAAGAGGACTTAATTCCTGTTAAAATAGTCTGCAGGGAAACATCCCATGTAGGTGTTTCTGAGAATAATATCAAGCAGGTTGCTTACAAATCATGCTGCAATCCCAACAAGTTCTCAAAATGTGATGTATTCTATTATCCTATGAGTAAAGATATGTCCAGGGATATAGAGGCATTACAGACACTAAACACTGAATTAAGGCTGTTGGAGAAATTGGAGTTTACCACAAACAAAAGAGGACAAGTACATTGGAAAATTAGAAAACGAAGTAAGTATAGTAGAAATTTCACATAATTTTTAAAAAGTTCTTCAACAGTTTTCTACCCTGCAAGCAGAGTGTATTTCCTTACCTCAATAAAAATTCGTGAAGGAAATTGTAACAGTTTTCATGATTTTTTTTCATGATATATAGCCACTTTAGGGCACTACAAAATCATGAAAATTTGACTTTATCAATGTCCATATAATGTTGAAAATCATCTAAATATGGGTGCTGTCAATCTGACAGATTTGTTGACAGCCTTGTTTATAGTGGGGTGAAGGATTTTTTTCTCTCTTTTCACTAGATATTGTTGAAAATAATTCAAATGATATCCCATAATTTGGTAGGTCATTTTGTATGTATATCAAATTTATGAATTTTCCCAGGCAGGAAAKCTAACAGAACCTTCATAACTTAAAAAAGAAATAGTTTGATAATCACCATAAACTAAACTTCTCATTTTCACCAGATACACCCTCCAACACCAATCTGGTTGGCCAAATCATGTTAGCTTTAATGGGTGGCTTAAAGGACACAGATGCAAAAAGTGCAATGACGCTCCTGATCACAAGAATGATAAAACTATTACAAAGAAATGAACTTGTGAAAATGACAGGATCTTCATCACACRTGAGCAGATATTCAACCTGTTATGAATTGGTGAATTTTATGGAGGACACAACATCTTCATCCAATGAATGCACATCAAAACAAGAATCAGACAAACCCGCATGCAGTACCCCAACTATTAAAGAAAATTTACCTCCAGAGAGTACAACTCCTTCTTCATCTACTGACAGTGGCGAATGTCAGGCACCTGTACTTTCCACTGCAGATGTTCTTGTATATTCTCAGCCATTACTAGAACAGCCAATAATTACAAAGCTAGTCGTCTCCATAAAAAGTAATGTAGCTTCAGGTGATATTTTGAAAGAGTTATTGTCGCGARTCCCCTATCAAGGGGGTCATATTTTTGGATTGGAAATTAATCCCGAGAGAGCAAGACTTTTTTCAGTTTTTCMATATTCAGAAGAAGTAGTCATCATTTATYATCATCATCCTTTTGAGTTCATCTCTTTTGAYGAGAAGAGTGGAAAACSAACTTTTAATTTTAATTCATTTTGGAAGATGGTTTTGGCAATAGGGCACGTACTCCGAGATAAGGAGTATAAATAATTCAGGAGTATCTACCTTTATAAATACAAAAGATTCAGTATGTCATATGATGCCAATAATGGCAATTTCGCTTGTGTGATAGTTTGCTTCAAATATCTTAAAGTGCACATGACACCATTAGAAATTTATTCTCATCCACAAGAGAAAATGTTGCTAAGTGCATAATGTGAAGAAAGAAATTGATTTTGAATTGTATTTTCTAAGTTATAGGCAATTGAAACTTAGAAATGCAAATGAAGTGACGTCTACTAAGGAATGATTTAATATACAAAATGATGAAAGAGGACGTTATTCTTTTTGTTTTATTGAAAAAAAAAAAACATTTGCAGCTCTCAATTATTACTGTGATTGATGATTTGAGCTCTTCCAGCAAGAACAACATAACACAAACAATGTAAAAAGTCAGGACCAATTCCTTACTTGACGTCACCTCATTTGCATTTTCAATTTTGAAATGCCTATAACTCAGAAAATACAATTCAAAATCTAATTGTTTCTTCACAGAAGTTCTTGGCAGCGTGTTACCTTTTGGTTAAAAGTGAATTTCAAAAAGGTGTCATGTGCACTTTAAAAATACAAGATGCTCACAATCGTACCTAAATCACCTTTCATTTTGAGTGTTTTATTATTATTATTTGTTCAATATTTTAAAGTGCGGCAAAGAAAAAATAATAATAAAAGAACAAAAAGGATAAAAAAAACTAGTGCAAAACGGTCACCCATCCGAATGGATGCTCGTTGCCCCCAGCCACGAGGGAGTTGATTAGACGGCGAAAAAAAAAGAGAGAAGAAATCATAAGATTTTGCTGATGCAAGGTTCGATCCCGAACCCTCGTGATGTAGAGTGTACGACTCCAGGCGAAATAGCGCAGTCAAAACAAGACGTGTGACTCGCCGGTGAAACACAGTAAATTGATTTTTAAAAAATGTGATTTTTGCAACATTTATAACTGAAGAAAAAAGATAAGGAAAACTAACTTTAAAATTTGTTTTATGAAGAATTTTCGGTCCCACGTGCCAGAGCGAGTCCCAAAGTGATGAATTTCCAACACAATTATCCAAAAACACCACATATATAAATGGATAGATATCCACATGGTCATATTTACATCAAATTTACAACCTTTAAAACGCGCGATTTTTTCCAGTGACGTTACTTAACATGTGATGACGTAGGGTCGAACATGGTTTCCAAGCGTTTCAAAATCTAATAAGAGTTCTAAGTCCGTTACACTCCCATATATCCTTCTCCCTTATTGACGTTGATTGGAAGTATTTTGACGTAAGGCGATGTTTTAAACTTTTGAAAAAAAAGCGACAAAGTTTCTTATTTCTTATCTGCCTGTTCATGGCGATGTTTATCCTATCATAGTTAATAGTCCCTATTAACTATGATCCTATGTAGAGTATGCGGCTCGACTCTCAGGCAAACCGTGAAGTCTTTTTCTTCGCATGTACATCCACATCCGCCCCGCATTCAAATTCATGGGCCATTCATCGCCAGATTCACAGACACATGTAACTAAGTAAAAGCGGCTTTTAAAAAAAATCCGTCTTCGTGTTTGATCGTTTACTTATATCATTAGAAACGTTTTTCTGTCGAATAATTTTAAGTCCGGTTACTAGTTTGCTACTAATAAGAGTAAAATTTGTTTTCCTTGTCCCACATGGTAGGGCCGGTGCACGAGTGCCTGCTATAAGTTGCCACGACTGTGCTGAAATCAAAGAAAATATTCTTTTTTTCCGAACCTACTGCTTTAATATTCTTCCCACTTCCAGAAGTGATATTATTCTTATCAAATTAACATTCATCATAAAAATTGAAAGTTTCAAAAAGGATTCCCGCATCTTCCCGCATTACAACTAATGTTGAAAAGAGTGTGTTGCAGTTAAACTATTTGTTTGCTCAAGTGCGGCAAATAATAATAATAGACTGAGGGAAAAGAAAGAAAAAGGAAAAAACTGGTACAAAACGGTCACCCATCCAAGTGGATAGCTACATGTAAATTTTTATTAATAAAATGTTGTGTATGATCTGGACCGTTTATACAAGGATGTATTCCAATGAATGCTTGCCGCCTTTTATTTTTTATTTTTGCAACTTGTCAACTTGAAACAGAACTGACTGACGAACAACGGGCCGGGAAGAATGATAGGATTACCCACAATGCATCATTGATCAAATCACGCCCGCGATTATAGTATTATGGCCAGTGGTAAACATCATAAATCAAGTGTTCTGCTGTTGTGTCATTGGTATTTCCTCCAAATTTACTGCGTTTTCTCACGTYCAGTCTCTCTTTTAAGCCTGTTTGGCTTAAAAGTCTATGGTAAGGTAGTTAGCTATCATTATATTTTTGCCGAAGCCGTACAGCTGCGAACGTCTTAACTTTTAATGCAGAAAATTGATAAGCTTTATGACACTTCTGGATTCTTCCTTTGGTAGATTTTTTAGGGGCAGAGTTTCAGTTTTCATTCCGTTTTATGTAATTTGCACTTGTATTTATTATTTTGATTGCACGCTGTTTTGTTTCTTTCCATCTCGTTTCGGAATGCACTAAACGAGAACACATCAGTTGTCCCTATGAGCTCACGTCCATGGTGGATTGTCAAAAGTGTACTATATAACCAGTGAAGGTTATTTGACTGAAATACTAGTCTTTTAGTCAGATAGAGGGTTAACCATGTTATTACTAAATGAAAGTAAAAGAAACCAGCAGTATTGAGATGCTTTTTAGACACAAACAATAATCATTTGCGAATCCTAATCCTAATCTACGTATAAATTTATGTAATAATAATTAAGTAACAAAAGCTCACAGTCACAATTTTTTGTAGAAGTACCAATGTAATCACAAAGTGTTGCAATATCTATGACAAGCCATGAGTACTAAGGCACCTCCCCCTTGTCCTCCACCGAGACCAGATCTTGAAACTGACAGGTATGGTGTAATACTATAATGACTAACCATTACATTACACATGATGACTTTTCTCTTAATTGTACTTGAATTTTAACTTAATGTTTTTTTTGTAGCATGCACAAAAATGCATCCCACGTTCATAAACAATTTTGAAAAAGAACTCCCTAGTCATAGTCCCATGCATATAGCTGAACATTATATTAAAAGTACCATTATTCTAACATCACACTTGTTTATTTTATATGACTTAATTTTCATATCAAACTCAATCAATTATATTCCAATACAGCTCAGTATCTAAGGCTTCTTCAAGAACTGCTCCACCTCCAATTCCTTTAAGACCAGACCTTGGAGAAGGAGTTGATGAAAATGTTGTCAATATCCCAAAAATCCCTCCTCCAACTCTTCCAAAAAAGCCAAGTGTTAAAAAGTAAGTTCTGAATGAATAGCGCTGCAGATTACATATGCCTATGCAATTTCTTGAATCACAACATCAATTCAAGATAAACAWTTTTTTTGCAAAATCTTCTTTACCTTGATACATGTATGTATAGCATATTAACCAGTAAATCTATTTCCAGGAAACCAGGAAGACCAGAAATTAGCATTATTTCCGCACAACCAATGTCATCGTCTGGTGCTTTTGTCCCTTTTGTCCCYAAGCCTCCAGCAATTCCAGTAYCTTCTCAAACAGTCCCACAATCAACTSTTAAAGAAACAGAACCAGAGCCTCTTGAACCACCTTCAGTTGATGATCCTGTATTGGAGACTGAACTTTACCTGGAACCAACACCTGGTCAATCATCAGCTGTCTATGAACACACTGTGAAATCAGAAGCTCAAGCACCTTCAGCTTGTTCTTTTAGCACTGCAACTGAGCCATTAATGCCAGATCCAGCTCCTTTTGTAACACCAGAAAAATCAGCTTCTACATCATTTATTGCTTCATCTGCCCCTTCAACTTCTAATACCATCCCTAGCTCTTCTTTTTCTACTACAATACCATCTCCAGCACCAACTTCAATACCAACTAGTACCATGGCAACCTTGCAACCAACTAAACCAGCTCCTCAAATCCCAGCAAATGTCTTCAAAGAAAGTTCACCCCCAAAAGTAATGAAAAGTAATAAACCTAGAGAACCACCTCAGAGACCGAAGTCTAAGCCAGTATGTGAACCTTCTCTAGCRACTGATCCATTCCAAGTAAGCTTTCAGAGCACTGAGGTAGTTGAAAAGCCTCAAGAACCTATTGCACCAAAAAGAACAAAGAACAAACCAAAGAAACAGTTACAGGAAAGTGAAGTTAAAGGTTTAGGGATTAACAATTCTGCTTTCCAAGAGCTTGAAGCTAGTCAAGTTGACAGTATGTTCATGGCAGATGTTGGAATGAAAAAGGAGACTCCACCATCAAAGAAGGKKAAATCTTTTCCCACAGTAATAAGGACAAAACCCAATGGGAAGGAAAACCCTAAGAATGAWACAAGTCCAAGTTATCAGGATGATTTAGTGCAGTTAGATAGTACTCAAGTTAGATATACAAAACCTACTGCTATCAAAACTCCKTCCAGAAACARACCACCCCCACCTCCATCCCAGAAAACAGGCCAAGACAGTGCCACAGGAAACCCAAGCCAAATATCTAGCACTCCTATATTAGATTCCMAGCCACAGCAAGGTAAAGCCAAAGCCARACCAACAATAATAATTCCAAAAGTTAAAAAGGATGAGAACAAGCAAAATGAAAGTGAAACTATCACTTCTCCACCAGAGCTTWCTAAAACAGAAGTTGAAAGTAAGAGTAATTTAGTGGAGGAAAAATCATCAAARCCAAAGAGAAAGCCTAATATCATAAGACCAAACAGACAAAAAAAAGACAAAAGTACTGTTGACAACAACCAAACAAATTCTAGGGGAATGCCAGAAGGACAAAGCCAGGAGGGCGCACAGGCTAAACCAAAAATTGTACCTATTAGAAAAGCCCCCCCAAGACCAAGTCCCCCAAAACCTGGACCCCCAAGACCAGGTCCACCTAAAAAACAAATAAATGAGGCATCTGCACCTCAAATAAGATCCCAACCAGCTGGTAATGTTGCAACTGAGGTTAGCTACCCTGAGAATAGCAACAAGGGTAAGTCTCCTCCCAGACCAGCAACAATTGGTAAAGAAAAAGGAGCAGAGAACAAGCAAAAGAACAATGAATCTACAATTGTTTCMTCTGTGGTTGAAACCAAGATAGAGCCTTCTTGTATTGCTTTGTATGACTATGATTCTGCAAACCCAGATGATCTTTCTTTCAAGGTACTTTCAGTTGTTTTACACATTTTAAACAGATAGTTTCTTGTTGAATGTGTCGTCCTGAGGATTTTCTCACCCAAATTGAACTTGTGYTAATTTGATAATGGTATTGAATATTTWAGGCTGGTGATGAAATTTTCCTCATTCAAAGAATCAATGCAGACTGGTACATGGGACGTGTGGGTGATTGTGAGGGCATGATGCCTGTCAAGTTTGTAGAGATTATTGAAGATTTGCCTGTAGAAACAGAAAAATCCATGGCAAAGGTGAAGAATTTGTGATATTTTTTTATGTATTCATTGAAATTCTTTGGTTTGCCAATAAGTATTGAGATTGTGCCTTATTGAACTTAAGGCTTGAAGTCAGCATTACAGATGATTTCATGTGTCATAAATAGATGTGTGTAAGCTTGTAATTACTATAATTATCAAAAACTATCCAAGTCTCATTATATTATTACTTGTTTTTTGTTCTCTAGGTGTCTGTACAGTCTTCCTTACTAAATGCTTTAGTTYTGTATGATTTTCCTGGTCAATCACCAGATGAACTCACCCTCCATGCTGGAGACACTGTACTTCTTCTTGAATTGATAAATGATGACTGGCTAAAGGGATCATGTAATGGACAAACTGGAATTTTCCCATCAAACTTTGTGGACKTTACTCAGGAAATGAAACAAACACTCTCACAACAGAAGAAAAATATTAAAACTGGTCCAAAGAGTATGACAGTTGTGTCATCTGGACCACGATGCAARGCTTTATATGATTATTGCACAGACAATGATGATGATTTGAACTTCAACAAAAATGATATTATTACGCTAACAGAGAGAATCAATGTTGAATGGCTTAAAGGAGAAGTCCATGGAGTTACTGGCATGTTTCCTGCAGCATATGTAGATATAATAGAGGATTTAGTAGTAGTGCCCTCTTCTACTAGCAGCTCATCAAGAGGTAAACTAAGTTTATGCAATGGCTTAATTAAGCAAGTCGGACTTCTTACCAATTTAAAGTTTGAGAATAGGTTAAGATTGTTTTAATCCCAAGACCTCTAATCATTCKCTTTACCTGATAAAACTGCCATGAGTTCCAGCTATCCTGAGGGAAACTTCGGAGGGAACCAGCTACCATTGCTACAATGTAATGGCACGTTTGAATTGTGCCCTGTCGATTTGATATAGTTCGTGAAGTATTCGTGAAGTATTCGTGAATAATAATGTGTCATGAATCAATAAAAATTCATCATAGACTGAGCATTCCAGTTGGTTGAACTGTGAAGTTTATAATAATTGATCAACTGATTGAATAATTAGCTCTTATTTATTGATTCATGTTTGATTGACATTACTGATAAATACCTGGATTGATTTAGTGATGGTCATTATTGATTGAATTGATTGAGTGATCAGCTAATTGATTGATGGATTGATTGACTGATTGATTTATCAGTTGATTAACTGATTGATTGATTGATTGGCTAGCAAGCTGGCTGTGATTGATTGATTGATTAATTGGCTGATTTTGATGGATTGGCTGACTAYATTACGCATTATCTCCTTAAAATAATTCCAGGTTCATCAACGTCCAGCCAACCTGTTGCCAGAGCTCTCCATGATTACATCAGTGATACAGATGGTGATTTGTCATTCAGAGAAGGAGACGTGATTACAATAGTAAACATAATCAGTGATGAATGGCTTGAGGGAGAGTTAMATGGCGAAAAGGGAATATTTCCTGCTTCTTTTGTTGAAAATATTGGAAAAGGTAACTAATGTGTAGAATATTAATACTTTTTGCTTAGGATAATGTAAACATCTTATGTGCTTATTGAATTTGTAGAGATGTCTAAGCCTCAAGATCAACTAWTGCCTAAAGCAAAAGCCTTGTATGATTTTATTGGGGAGTCTGAACAAGAATTRTCATTCAAGGTATTGACACGATAACCCAATAATAACCCCATATATGAGCATGAACCTATTCTCACTCAGGCTTCCCTCATGATGTGCAAAAGATATGAGTATGGAGTCTGCAGCCTGAGTACAGCTGCAATAAACAATGAAAGTAGATTAAAGGAAGAGAGAATGTGTGGGCATGAAGAGGAGAATATCATTTTTAATTATTTTCCTAATTGCAAAAAATATTTAGGGTACYGTAAACTTTATACCTATTTCATTTATTTATTGTTTATATTGGCAGACTGGTGATGAGATATTACTTTTACAACAAATTAATAGCGATTGGATGGAGGGAGAATTGCATGGCCATATTGGACAGTTTCCTTCAGCTTTTGTAGAGGTCTTAGTCCCTTTACCATGACAAGATATAAATGATGATTATTTATTGAATTTAAAAAAATCAATGAATATTCAGCAAAGAAATTATTGGCTACTGTAAATGTTGGTTGATACCAAATGATTACAGTGGTATTGGATAATAAAATAAAAAAAACAAAAGAGCATTTTTAAATAGCCCCTGCATAGCTGGCGGTCATGTGACGACACCTACCTCAAATCAATTAGCTAATGACAAAATGATGCCCAGAAATGAAAGGAACAGGTCAGAATTAGTAAGAAGACATACCGTAGTTTCAAGTCACTAAATGCTTGAAAAATGGTTGCAAACACCAGTAGAAAATCATTTTCTAAAGAAATGTATGCAAAAGAATGAATGCAAAAATAGAACTGGAGAGTAAGGCTTGATTTTACATTTGCTGCCATTCTTGAAGTATTTAGAGTTAAGATTTAAAACTTTGCCATTTTATCTGCATCAACCTGCTCTTTACATTTCTGGATATCATGAAGTGTTTGATTTAAGCTAGGTTTGGTCATGTGATCCCTATTCAAGTTTAAGATCAAAATGCTCAGAAAATGATRGTAAAATGCGACAAATACATATAAATAACTTTTCTTACTACTTTTTTGTGGCAGTGGAAATAGTTTCTTCACAACTTATTGTGACTTAATTATTATACTCTTATTATTTCACAAGATTAAGAATTCCTAAGGAATTTTATCAGCTCGGATGTTGCTTAATACTTTAGCGAGCTATGTAAAATTTAGTGTTATTTTTTATTTTATTGCAATTTTGTTAGAATATATCGTGACCTTTTGTTGTTTTTTTCTGTTCAATATGGCAAAGAAATGTTCATGCAGTCAGGAAAACAAGCTTTATTTTGGAAATTGTGTTTTGACAAGCATGTGTACAGCAGAACTTCAAATGTAGAGCATTAGGACGTATCTATAAAAGTTTAATTATGATTGTAAACATTGTTTTTTGGTTCATTTGGTAATGGAAGTTTCATCTCTCTATCTACGGAATATTTTATTGCCATATGATGATCAGCTGACGTTTTAAAGAAATTCTGTATACAAATTATTTTACATATTTTATAATTCAAGAATTTATTAATCAGTTATACTTTCAGATCTAAAGAAAGGATTTAGAGAGAGAAGAGAAATTTGTAATATAAATCAATCATTATTATTTTTTTTGTAAAGAAAATATTTGTAGATTTTAAACTAAGTGGTTTTCAATAAGAAAAAAAAAAATCACTTAAATTTATTATTTTGAATTGAATAGCTGATTTGCAAATTTCACCTCAGTAGTCGAACACWCAAGAATCAAGACAAGGTGTCATGTGTAAACTCCAGTAAATCGTTAAAAACTATAATTTTCTTTACACAAATGACTAAGCGTTATGTATGGCATGTATCTCTCTTGATGCCTTTGAGTGACTACTGTGGCAAAAACATTTGCAAGTTGGCCATTTCTTTTGTTTGGMTTTTGGGATTCCTGTGGTATTTTGTATTTCCCACCTTGACACAGGCAACCCACTTTATCTCCAAGCCAGTAATACCTTTGCAAGTATGCAACATTTAACATGTAAAGAACTCTAACATAATAAGGTAAAATAAAAGAGTTCCATTTTAGCATTGAGTCCACTGTATCTGTATCAGTATATATATTATTTTCAAATGTAATATTTTCAGATTAACTGCCTAAAATTTGTTCTCGAAGCCACTAAAAAAGCTGGAATTTGCATTCAACCAATATATGCTGTGGGGTGTCTGTTAGCTGGTATCTTTTAGGGATTTAAGTCTTATGTTGTCATGCACACATCTAAAAGACTGCAGTGTTTTTAGAGGTACTTTTTAAATTTTCCAATAAAGATCACGACCCATGATATACCCAGCCGAACCCAGTCCAGCAAACAGAAAATTAAAAAACAATTTCAAGACTCCAGGCTTCCATTTGGTAATTAGCAATTGGTTTATTTATCTACCCATTTGTATATTTAACAATTAGACCTCGAGGTCGAGTGGACTTACGAGCTATAGCCCATGAGGCCGAGTCCACGAGGCCGAATGGGCTATTAGCTCGTAGTCCACGAGGCCGAGAGGTCTAATTGTTTTAGTATAAACATACTAATCTGTCAAATAATGAAAACAAATTGAAATATCATTAAAATCATTTATTAATGAGATGCTGCCATTTTGATTTTCCCCGCGAGTGGTCTATCACAAATTAGACCATTAGTAGAGTAGCCAATCACAGCGCAGTATGAGTGATAGACCATTAGYATGTTTATACTAATATGTATTATTGATTAATATTTTTATCTATTATTCCATCCATTTTTTTTCCTTTTCCTGCGCAGTGTCGCTTTACATCCTCTAGCCAATCAGAGCTCTCCAAATCAATCATGTGACGAARTCCGAAGCTTGCTTCATTAGAACTCTCACTTTCCATCGTTCATGTTAATACTCTCGCTGTTATTCCCCTAAAATGGCAAGTGTTAACTTCAATTCCCAACAAGTTGAGCTCTTGAAGCAGTTCGTTGAAATTTGCAAGAAAAACCCAGCTTTTCTTCATGCAGATGAGCTGGTTTTCTTCCGTGAGTGGATAGCGAGGTAAGACGTTTGGCCACGTGAAGGTCTTGCTTGTACTTTCAAAACTTCACATTATTTTCTTTCCTTCAGCACAGATTTACTTAAAAAATTACTTAAATCAGATTAAATGGTAATTTTATGAAACGTCATTTTAGTGATAATAGAAGTTTAACATAGTTGGGAATGGCTGCCAATTGGATAAAAACTAGTTAAAGTCGAGCTTGAATCATAAGACTTAACTTAAGTTATTGTGCTTAGTAAGCATGTGATCTTTTTTTTATACATATCGCCCAGAAATGTATTTTTGTATTTTCAAATATTTGTCCTATGATTTTTAAATAATTTTTGTACATTTTTGATACATTTTTTGCGATATTTCACTCTTTAATCCTGAAGAGACAAGTTCTGTATAATATTAGTCTATTATAGTCAACATCGTCTTGATTTGTTTGTAGTATGGGGGCCACACTACCACCACCACCTACTCCAGAAGAAAACATCCCTAAAGAAGAAGTAAAAGAGGAAACAAAACCACCGGTGAGTTAAGCACATTTTATTTATTTATTTATTTATTTATTTTTTTATTTTTCTTTATTTTGTGGAAAATGATTTGTCATTCATCTAAAATCACAAACTCTAGAGGCGGCTTTGAAACACATAGGCCCCTGATTCTCTTAACTGATGCTGTGCAAACAGTGTTAAATGTGTTGCTTTGATGAGGGGACAAGGGATTTCAATTGACTGTGTAATCTTCTTTCATTTTAGGAACCAGAGCCGACACCTGAGCCTGCAAAAGAGCCAGAAGAAGAGGAAAGTGAAGAAAGTGCAGAAAGTGATTTAGGTAAAAGCTAAAAAAATTTGGTAACTTTAGATCATCTATATTATCAAATCTGATCATCTGAGAAATGGAAGAAGAGTGCTTATCAATCCTATGTTGCCTGTCTGAGCATATGACAAAGATAGCAAGCAGGATTTCAAATAATTTTCATCAAAATTAGATAAAATGATGAGAACCTGTTATGATGAAAGAGATTAAATTAAATAAGCATAAAGAAAGAACACCATCCAGCTTTATAAAATAAAATACTGTTTCTAAAGATAGACACCACAGCTCAGCAGACTCAAACTTCACATTATGAAGAATGAAATCATCTTCCATGATGACTGACTATCAAAATATAGSTGGTTGAAGGGGTTTGTCATCACTAGATACCTAGGCAATATAAGAAGAAATCACTGCTYGTAGTTGGCTTTGCAGGAAAACTTTGTCCACTACAAACTATAATCTTGTGCAAATACTGTTGTACACTCTGTTAATATTCTTCATTCCCAATTTTKTTTAGAATTTGATAAAGAAGGCTGTGTAGAGCCAGATACTGATGATCCTCAGCCTATGGGAGATCCATCCATTGAGGTATAAAAACTATATTTTGATAGTAATYACTAATGTCCTTATGCCAAAACGTTCTTTTTGTGTTTCCTAATTCTTCCTCATTGTTAATGTTTGGATATCATTACCAAGCTCTCTGTCATAACTTGTGCAAGGTGTAGGGCTATGGGTTATCTCTTCCAGTTAGTACTTACTAAATGCTTACCAACTTGTTGTGTTTCAGATAACAGACGAAATGAGAGATAAAGCAAACGAATTGAAACAACAAGCACAGGAAGCAATGAGTGAAGGTAAATACTTGAAATTGAGAGTATGGAAAAAGAAAAGAAGGAAGAAAAATGAGGTGTGTGGATGTGTGATGAACAAGAACATAATATTCACATCAAGAACATAATATTCACATTAAGCAATCATTGTGAGAAGAGAACGGTATGTTTTCATTCTCAGAAAGTGTATTCTATTTATTTATGTAGGAAAGTTAGAAGAAGCAATATCTCTATTCACTGAAGCAATCGTGAAAAATTGCAAATCAGCACCATTGTTTCACAAACGAGGACGGTAAGAGGCCAGTTTATTGAATAACAGTAATGTTGAAGCTTGGTTGTCAGTAAGAAATCTGCCAAAGAGTGTTTTACTTATGAATGAAATTATAATATTGTATTGTCATTTTTTGGAATAAGTGAATAATTTRATAGGTGGGATTGTGTGGGAATGATGTGAATAAATTTGTAATGTTGTGCTGTGATTTATGTGGATGTGTGTATTGAATAATTTGATTGTATGTAACCCTTACTCTATCAGAACTTTTAGCGAAATTATGAAATTTCCCACCCTGATGTGTTAAAAAATCATTAAAAAAAAAAACAAAACAAAAAGGATTAGCTGGCAAGAAATATATCATTGTAAAGAACAGACAATGAGCTTTCAACACAGTATATTTATTGAAGTTTGGCGAATAATCCGTGCTTGTTTCCCCCATTCCATTAATTTCTATAAATGGTATACTGTAGGCTTGAAGAAAATGCTAAACATTTCCATTTCATTAACATTACTTTTCAGCTGCTATGTCAAACAAAAGAAACCCAATGCTGCTATCAGAGACTGCACTAGAGCTATAGAGATTAACAAAGACTCTGCACCATCTTACAAATGGAGAGGAAGAGCCTATGAGTAAGTTAACCTAAACCTAAACCATAGTCAATGATATATTATCATTGGAAAGCTCTCTGTGTGCTACTCTTTGAAATCCTTGAAAAGCCCTACACTAATGAAAAACTGGTTTTGAAGGCTCTAGAAAACTCCTTGAGGCTGTTTCACCTTTTTTTGACTTTCCATTTAAATTAAGAAATCACAGCTTAAAACAGTCAAGAATCTGAAACAAGATTATGGAATRTAGTCCTTGAAAATTTGATTTWTAAMATTATGTCCRTTATTATTGTGTACAAATGTACAAAGCCTGTTTTTTACTTAAATTGTGATATTTTTTGTTTAATCAAGGTTACTTGGTGACTGGGAAAATTCAGCTAAAGATTTGCGTGTTGCAGCCAGAATTGATTTTGATGAGCAAGTTAATGAATGGCTTCACCAAGTTGAGCCCAAGGTATCTATTTTAAGTATTGCAATTCAACCTCAATAGTGGAATATAGTATTTTGTTTTGTGCGTACAACAAAAATATGAATTCTGTTTTGACTGTTTGTTTTTGTATATTAATAACCATTCTATTTCTAGGCTAAAAGGATTGCTGAACACAAGAGAAAGTATGAGCTCAAAAAAGAAGAGCGTGAATTAAGAAAAAAGAAAGAAAAAGCGTATGTCACATTTTAAGTACTTGACCTGAATTTTATAAACAAAGTATGGCAGTATGATAAATGTGATTGTGTTTTCATGATTTCACAGTAAGAAAGCAAAAGAAGCCAATGAAAGAGCGAAAGAGGTAAAATTAATATATTTTATTCTTTTGTATTCTATTATGTTTTATTCCTTGCTACCATTTTCTATTCTTTTCTATTATACTCTTCTCAACCAATCTAACACCACATAATATACCAAATATTATATTATATAAATGATTATATTCCATTCTATTTTATTTTGCATGTCTCAGTAGCTACATGAATTTTATTCTCATCTTCATTGATAAAGGTAAAGGGTTTTTTATTAATGCCAAGTTTTTACTTACACAGGAAGAACGAAAAAGGCAGCAACAGCAATCCCAGTTTAGAGGTGGAATGCCAGGGGGATTCCCTGGTGGAATGCCAGGAGGATTCCCTGGTGGAATGCCAGAAGGATTCCCCGGTGGAATGCCAGGAGGATTCCCTGGTGGAATGCCAGGAGGATTCCCTGGTGGAATGCCAGGAGGATTCCCCGGTGGAATGCCAGGAGGAATGCCAGGGGGGTTCCCTGGTGGTGAGATGCCACAAGGCGGAATGCCAGAGGGAGGTAAGTACGTTTTCTTATTCTGTATTCATATTTTATGTACAAATAATCGATTACTTTATCCTTGCAGCGCCGAACTTGACTGAACTCCTACAAGATCCAGAAATGATGGCCGCCTTTCAGGACCCGGAGGTAATGGCAGCTTTCCAAGATGTCAGTCAAAATCCAGCGAACATCAAAAGCTATGAAAACAATCCTAAAATTAAGAAAATTATCGATAAACTTTCCAAAAAGTTTGGTAAAGCTGGTGGCGGAACTGGTAGTCAGCCTCCTCCGCAACCACCGCCAACTAGTGGATTTGGTGGTGGTACCGTCCCAGATATGGATATCGATTAAATTGTCTTGTTGACAAATAGCTTACATACTTTTAAGACTGTTTCTTTCAGCGATGAAAGCAGATTGAATGTATGAAAAACCCAACGTTCGGTATGATTTTCAACGATTTTCCTGTTTCAAGTACTACAATTAGGGCAACGAACAATTTGAAATAAAAACGTTAACGTTACTTTTGCAATGCGCAAACACTGTTTCACAGTTCCTTTCCTAGATCAATTGAATTGATGGGAAAATTACACAAAGGCCATGATTTWCTCAGCAATTTCTTTTGCARCTTCTTTAGAATTAAGAGGCCATAGTCAACCAGCATGTCTTAGAGTTTTCGTTTATAATCTATAGAARAGTGTAGAAAATGGGAAATTAGAATTATTCAACTTGCACTTACTCTTTATAACCCCATTTATGCTCTTTAAAGGGAGATAGAGTGGTTTTCATAAACCCGTGAAACAAAGTGTAATAATTAGAGTGTAATAGATCGTAATAGTCGCGTAGAGACAATAAAAAACAAAAGAGCCAAAGTGTAATAGCGATATATACGCTAAAGTGTGTTTCACGGGTCAATTTTAATACTGACGGATGAGAACAGATTTCGAACAGATATTTGAAGTCCCCTCAAAATATGATAGAGCAAACGCAGGAAAACCATGAAATAAAATCAAACTAAATACTAACTATTAGCGGCTATTTAGAGACAAATTGTCAGTATCAATGAACCAGAACGCAATACTGAAAATGAATGAAAAATGGTCCCATGTGGATTCATCTTCACTGTGTTCTGGTTCATTGATACTGACAAAATGTCTCTAGATAGCCGCTATATTAATTAGTATTTAGTTTGATTTTATTTCATGGTTTTCCTGTGTTTGCTCTATGTGAAAAAACTAAAACACGATCGCATTGAATGCTGGTTGACCATAGCCCTTTGAGGACTGTTTTTTCACCAAGCCGGGTGTAAAAGGCTCATTTAACACTTAATCTAAAGGTTTTTTCTCAGTTGAATATGAACTAATGTTACTGCTCTGGTTACTGCATAACTTAACGCTTACGCTTCCAATCACTCTGCTTCTGTCGCTGAAACCACGCTAGGCCTTGTAAAAAATCTTTAATCACAGATAACAATGTAACGATATTTAGGCTGAAAAGTACTTTCATTTTTGAGGAATACTTTTGTTACGTTTAGAAAATAGCATTCACGTATCAAGTAGCTTGATTTACGAACGAAGACTGTAAAAAAAAACAAAACAAAAAAACAGTTGTGTAGATAATAAACGGTGAAATTACACAAACATTTGAAGTGTATTTCTTTTGTCGGTATAAGAATGCCACACAGTACTGTGAGACTTCGTATTGCAATTTCATAGTGTGTTTTTGTTTGCTATTCGTTGTTGCGCTCGAACTATACTCGCCCGTGTGTCAGTATGCCCGCCTTATTATTATACGTGGACTTAACTAACAATACCCGGCAAGAAAAGAAGTCGTTATCATCTCATAAAATATAAGACTATTGTG